AAAGTTGCTGGTTGCAATGGCATGGGCCTGTATATACAGCTACTCAGGAAGCTGAAGCAGGAGGATCAATCCAGCCCAGGTGTTCAGGCCAGGCTATGTAACATAGCAGTAACAAACAAAAAACAAAGACTCAGTCTTCAAAAATAAGGATAGCCTGAGAAACTGTTATAGCAAGAGCTGCTAAGGACAGCTGGTAAATAAATGTAATGGGGTATTTTTCATGGGATTCTGGAATAGAAGTTGGAAAAAAAAACTAAGGAAGTCTGAATTAAACCATGGACTTAAGTTAATAATAATGTCTCAGTATTGGTTCATTAATTGTAAATAACATACTGTACCAATGGAGGATGTTAATAATAGGAAAAATAAAGATTTATGAGAACCCTTACTATCGTCTCAATTTTTCTGTAAATTTAAAACCATTCTCGGGCCGGGGATTTAGCTCAGTGGTTCCAGCGCCTGCCTCAGAAGTGCAAGGTCCCACGTTCGATCCCCGGTACCACACCCCCCCAAAATAAAAAACCATTCTGAAAATGAGAATATATTTTAAAGAGGGAACCTGATTGAACTGACTAGTTTGACAATAAAATTAGCTTTGTTGATCAGGTCATATGCCAAGTATTTTCTATAATCTGTGATTTCAAGATTTTGACATACATATTTTTTAAGTGTATTGTAAGCTGGGAGTGGTGGATTACACCTATAATCCCAGCTACTGAAGAGGCTGAGACAGGAGGATCTCAAGTTCAAGGCAAGCCTGGGATGTTTAGAGAGACCCTGTCTCAAAATGAAAAACAAACATCTATAATCCCAGCTACTCTGAGGACACTGAGGTAGGAGAACTGCTAAGAGTTCAAGGCCAGCCTGAACTACACAATGAGACCCTGTATCAAAAATAAATAAATAAATAATGCATGAAAAGCATTTTATCAGAGAATATTGTATTGGTAAAGATGCAATGAAGTGATCAAAATTATAATTTGCCCTAAGCTTTTTCTCGATGGTGTTGGGAATCAAACCCGGGGCCTCACATATGCTGGATAAGTGTTTTAACCACTAAACTATATCCCAAGCCTCCCAATGTTTTGTTGTTTAATACACAGAGTTAAACAAGAAACAATTAAATAAAAGATGAACATACATCACTAAAAGTTGTTTGATAAATCTTGGTAAAGTGTTTTGGATTAATTCTCAGAAACTAAAAAAGTAAATGACTCTACTACTGGTCAGATTTTTTTTTTCCTGTACTGGGGACTGAATCCATGGCCTTTGCACTATGCTGCATCCCCAGCCTTTTTAGTTTTTATTTTGAGACAGGGTCTCACTAAGTTTCCCAAGCTGTTCTGAAACTTTTGATCCTCCCTGCCTCAACCTCCAGAATAGTTAAGATTACAGGGATACACCATTTATCCCCAAATGAGTCAGGCTGTTTTAATTGTTACCTGCCAAAAAAATGGAAGAAAGACCAAACTGAGTTATCACCAATAATTTCTGATGACAGATCTCTATACCGGGTATAAGATATTAAAATTTTGATATTGATGAATTGTCATCCAAAGATTGTATAAGGGTTTCTCAATATCTCAATAATAATCACTGTTAAATTTTGTAGTACAAAGGTTATCAAACTTTATTCAGTAATACATAGGGATATATGAATAGATACATATACATTATCATTCTGGAATTCTTTTGGTTTTTTGTTTTGAGACAGGGTGTCACTATGTATCCCAGACTGGCCTCAAACTTATGAACCTGTTGCTTCAGCCTCTTGAGGGATTATAGGTCTGTAATTTTCATTTCACCTACTTTTATTCCTATTCAACACTATATTAATAGAATTATTCCAAGTCATTAAATTATATATATAAAATATATATATATGGTTATCAATAGTTCCTTTTGTAGTGAGAACTAAATAGAATCACAGGAAAGTGATGAAGTTACAGATAAGCAGATTCCAAAAGGCAACTCCCACTCACAGGGGAAACCAGAGGACAGAGATATTAACTAGACTCTTTCTTTGAGGAAATGACAAGATGTTGGAAAAAGAAAAGGATGAGGTCACAGGAAAGCCTGGGAGGAGGAGATATTTGCATAGGATGTGGAAATGACAAACTACAACCCTCTTACAGCTGAGCACAGGGTCCCCTAGCCTTGCAGGCAGAGAAATACATTTCCTAGATCCCAGCAGGATGTGTCCTTTGCCAAGTGAAAATCATTCTTTTGAAAAGACAATTCAATTTCCGCATGACAAATAAGACCTGCCCTCTTCTACATCTCCCCAAGGGATCCAGTATCAGGGTTCTTCCATCACACATAGTCTTTGTTGTCAATTAGGAAGAGGGATCCCCTCTTGCTGTCCCTTCCTCCAGACCCTGCACCCCTCTACTAGGCCACAGGACTTGGGGGAACATTGGTTAGTGTGTTAACTTTCTGTTGCTATGACAAAATATACAAGAAAAAACAACTTAAAGGAGGAAAGAATTATTCAGCTCATCCTTTCAGTACATGGTCACTTGGGCTCATTGCTTTGGGCCCCTGAGAGGCAGAGGGCCACAGTGAGGAGAGCATGGGGGAGCAGAGCTGCTTACCTCATGACATATGGGAAGGAGAGAGGGAGGAAGGTGGAGAAGAGAGTGGGGGAGACAGGAAGGGGCTGAGGACATGATATACCTTTCAAAGACACACTCTAGTGACTTACTTCCTCCAACTAGGCCACCTCCTAAAGTTCCCATCATCTTCAAATAGCCTACTGAATTATGAACCTATCAATGGATCCATTGATGGAGTCAAAGGCCTCATGATCCAATCACTTCCCCAAGGCCCCACCTCTGAACATTGATACAATGGGAACCAAGTCTTCAACACATGAGCTTTTGGAGGACATTCTAGGATCAAACCATAACAGTTGGTTTAAACCCCATCTCTGCCCCTTGGCTACGAACCTTTGAGCAGAACTATACAGGCACAACCTTGCAAAACGGCCTTCTCTGATATGATTAGAGACACCATTATGAGAGAACACCAATATAGGAAAAGAACAGCAAATAGCCCAGCTTGTAGCAGTCGAGTTTAGGCTGATAAGGAGTACATAACATTATGTGACTCCAGTATGAAGTAGGGGAGCCTGGAGTAGTCAATGGGCACATGGGTTTCAACTAGGATAGTGACAAGTTTAGGGACATAATTTGAGAAAATTAATCTGGCAGTTTCCTGTAGAATAAATTAGCATAGGAGAGAGCAGAGGGACTATTTGGGAGGCTAATAGGGCTCCTCAGCCCTAGCACTATTATTGACCTTTTGAGTCATATAATTGTTAGCTGTAGGGAGTTTTCCTTTGCATTGTGGGATATTTAGCAGCACTTCTAGTCTCTTCTCACCAGATATTAAAAACTCCCTTCCCCCTGCGGAAGGAAAAAATGCACCCAGTTGAGGCAGGCAGTGGAACCACTGAGCTAAATGCCTGGCCCCTGACCCAGTTGAGAATCATGTAATAGACCATATAAGAAATAAAGATGAAAAGGTGAATGCTAGGCAGAGGTAGGGGGAAATCTAAAAGCTGTGCCAAGTGTTTAGATAGGAGTGTGACTGAGAAAGGGAGGAATGTAAACTCAAACAGAACCACAGAAAAGGCACTAGAGGCCAGGTAGTCTAATATGGGTATAATTAGCTGGGAGTGGTGGCACACATGCCTGTATTCTTAGCACTCAGGAGGTTGAGGCAGAAGGATCATGAGTTTGAGGGCAGCCTGAGCTACATAGTAAGACTCTGTCTTAAAAAGCAAAACAAAACAAAGGAAGAATATGCTTTAAATTGCTCAAAATATAGTCAACTAACTCTTGAAGGGCAATTTGGTAAATCCATTTGAAGAGCAGTTGGAAAAACCTATTAATCATCACAAAAATTATCTTATCCTTTGACTCAGTGATGCTATTTCTGAGAATTTATCTTAAACAATTTAAGTAAAGATAAGCAATACTCATGTATAAAGCAACAATAGATACATGAAAACAAGTGACTTGGGCCAGGGATTTAGCTCAGTGGTTTCACCGCCTGCTGCGCAAGCGCAAGGACCCGAGTTCGATCCCTGTTACCAAAAAAAAAATGCCCATTTGCTAGTAAAAGAAATGCTAAGTAAGGTTGATAAAGTGGAAAACGTTACTTAAAAAAAAAAAAAAAAGAAAAGAAAACAAGTGACTTTGTTCTCAACTATTTTATCTTATGTCGTCATATTGCCTGTTAAATGAAAGGCCCAGGTTTAGAAGTCTATTCCCAGAGAGAAGTCGTAGCTAATGAAACAAAACGTCAGATAAGAGGAAAGGGCACTTATCAAGAATGTACGCAGAGCCAGGTGTGGTGGTGCACACCAGGAATCCCAACTACTGAGGCACAGGAGGATGGCAAATCCAAGGCCAATTTGGGGGATTTAGTGAGGCCCTGTCTCAAAACAATAAACCCGGCTGGGCATGTAGCTCAGCCCTCCCTGGGTTTAATCCCTGGTGCGGGCTGGGGTGTGGACTCAGAGAGAGGAAGGCTATAAGGATTTGAAAGGAAGGGAAGTTAGATGGAGGGCTTGTTAGGGCTTCATTCAGTGAAGTTAGTATCACCAGAGTAAAAAGGAGTGGTTGGACCTGGTATTTCTGTAGAATTTCAAACTTTCTCTGAGGGCATTACTTGAAAAGAATGATGCACTCTCTGGAGGAAGCTGCTGGAGAACGTCCTGCCCTCAAAAAAGCGGAAGTCAGGAAGAACACAATACTCAGAATAGAAGGAAAAAAGGAGTGTCCGATTGTCCTTCTCCTGGAGTGCCCAGAAACTTAACTTTTAAATTGCTCTCTGAATATGGAAGCTTTGTTGATTTGTTTAGCAGGGAACATTCCTCTCTAATGTGGGGCCCAGAGTTTAACTAATTGACCTTCTGTGAACGTCGTCAGCAGGAGGAGGCAGGTGGACGGATAATGGGCGTGACCAACCCTGAGCCGGCTGGAGACCGCGCCCCCTTCCCAGAGTGCACCGCCGCCGCCGCCTGCGTGAGCTCCTTTCTCCCTCCGGATCCTCCAGCCGTGGAAGGCCATCAGGCCATGGAGGTGCTACGGCCTAGTGCTGGGTTAAGGCGCGGGCGGCTGAGGCGCCGGCGCCCGCCCCCGCCACACAGCGGGTCGGTCTTGGCCCTACCCTTGAGGCCCAGGAAGATCCGAAGGCAGCTGAGGAGAAGTGTCGCATCCCGCATGGCTGCGCTCAGGGCTCAGGCGCTGCCGAGTGTGGACTCGGAGGACTCGAGGGTGCAGACTACGGCAGACGATCTGGGGGCCGCGCGGCCTGGTGGTGCGGCAGCCATTCCGGAGCTGCTGGAGGCCCCGCCTGCGCGCGTGGTGGAGGTGCCGGCTGCGCCCGCCCGCGCTCTGAACGCCTCTGCCCTGTTGTGCATTCCCCAACCCTTGGCGAACTCCACGCCACAGGTGGATAACACAGGTCGGGAGCTTCCCTGGGACTCCCCGCTTCAGCGCATCTTGGCCGAGCTGAACCGCATACCCAGCAGCCGGCGCCGAGCGGCGTGCCTCTTTGAGTGGCTCATCGCGCCTATGCCGCCAGACCATTTCTACCGGCGCCTTTGGGAGCGGGAAGCGGTGCTGATACGGCGGCAAGACCACGCCTACTACCAGGGCCTTTTCTCTACTGCTGACCTGGACTCGATCCTGCGCAACGAGGAGGTACAGTTTGGACAGCACCTGGACGCCACGCGTTATGTTAACGGGAGGCGCGAGACCCTGAACCCACCGGGCCGCGCGCTGCCCGCCGCTGCGTGGTCGTTGTACCAGGCAGGCTGCTCCTTGCGCCTCCTCTGTCCTCAGGCTTTCTCCACCACCATATGGCAGTTTTTGGCTGTGCTCCAGGAGCAATTTGGAAGCATGGCAGGCTCCAACGTTTACCTCACGCCCCCCAACTCGCAGGGCTTTGCACCCCACTACGACGACATCGAAGCTTTTGTGCTGCAGCTGGAAGGTAGGAAACTCTGGCGTGTCTACCGACCCCGGGTCCCAGGCGAAGAACTGGCCCTGACATCTAGCCCCAACTTCAGCCAGGAGGACCTTGGTGAGCCGGTGCTGCAGACCGTGTTGGAGCCTGGGGATTTGCTCTATTTTCCTCGGGGCTTCATTCACCAAGCTGAATGCCAGAATGGAGTGCACTCTCTGCACCTCACATTGTCCACATACCAGCGCAATACCTGGGGCGACTTCCTGGAGGCCATTCTGCCCCTGGCTGTGCAGGCTGCAATGGAAGAAAACGTGGAGTTTCGGAGGGGTCTTCCCCGAGACTTCTTGGACTACATGGGGGCCCAGCATTCAGATTCTAAGGATCCACGAAGAACTGCCTTCATGGAGAAAGTACGGGTCTTGGTTGCCCGCCTTGGACATTTTGCACCTGTTGATGCTGTGGCTGACCAGCGAGCCAAAGACTTCATCCATGATTCTCTGCCGCCTGTGTTGACTGATAGGGAGAGGGCACTAAGTGTTTACGGGCTCCCAATTCGCTGGGAGGCTGGAGAACCAGTAAATGTGGGTGCCCAGTTGACAACAGAAACGGAAGTCCACATGTTGCAGGATGGGATAGCTCGGCTGGTAGGTGAGGGGGGCCAGTTGTTTCTCTATTACACGGTGGAAAATTCTCGTGTTTATCATCTGGAGGAACCCAAGTGCTTGGAAATATACCCCCAGCAGGCAGATGCCATGGAATTCTTGCTTCGCTCCTACCCAGAGTTTGTGAGAGTAGGGGACCTACCCTGTGACAGTGTGGAGGACCAACTTTCCTTGGCAACCATGCTGTATGATAAGGGGCTGCTACTCACCAAAGTGCCTCTAGCTCAAAACTAATTTTTTGTTGATTGCTGAAAACAAGACAGTAGTGATTCAACACTACCACCACCTTCGTTTTGGCTTTGTTTTTAATTCCTGTTCTTACCTTGATAACCATCAATATGGTCACATTTACCGTTATCACTTCGATGTCACAAACCTCAGACAGTCTTTTGGGAAGAACCACCTCATCTAGGTACAAAAGTAAAAGCAGAAGTTAGAGGAGAAAAAAGAGCTGTTTCTGCTCTTTCTGATCAGTGACCTTGATCATTTCACAGCACCAGCTTCATTCCTCTTAGGCTGTACTGTGAGCACTGGTTTTGTCACTCTGCTTAAGACATTAGAAGTTTTTATTTGGAAATTGTATCTTTCATTTGAGTTCTCTTTCATCAGTTTGGGGAGAGGATTGGGCTCAGTATCATGTTTGTTAATAAGTTTGTATGAGTTATTAAAGTGCCAAAGAATGTTTCTCTTTTCTAAGGTAGATTATTATGTGGACTGGTTTGAAGAAATGCAGGAGGGGTGAAAAACAATTTGAAGTGCTTGCAGGATGTCAAAGAAGCATGTTAATCAACTTGAAAGGAGAGGGGCTGGGGGTAAATCTCAGTGGTAGAGCATGTATTTAGCACACACAGCCCTGGGTTCAATCCCTAGATCCCTAGCACCACACACGCAAAAATTAAAGAAGAGAAACTCATCTGATTTCTGTAACTTCAGGTGTAATTTACTTATTTTATACTACTTAAACCTCAAAGCAGGGTCAGCTTTAACACTATTATGTTTTTGTTCAGTGCTTGCTTACATTATTGTCCAGCATTGTTCCCAAAGGGGCAGCCTGTCACTTAGTTGTGCTGTCACAGGTCTTAGTCAACCAACTTTTAGCAAGCTAAGGGAAGGCTGGTGTTCAAGTTACTTTCCACTCTCATTTTTTCCTGGCAGTTGGAAGAAACTTCCCCAAATCTGGCAAGTGAATATTCTCATGGTTGGTGGAAAAGAAACCCTGATGTACCAGAAAGAATACTTGGAATTGGAACCAGAAGACCTGGGTTTGGGGTGGTGGCTGGTAGGCAGCTGGCTGAGTGACCTGAGGCTGCTGCTACGCTTGGGCACACGAATTTTGTAAGTATTATTTTGGTACAGCTTGATTCTCACCCTCATCTTTTAGGTTGTATCTAGGACTCTTAAGAACCTATCATCATAACTGATAGGGCCAGGTTTTTAAGGGTGAGAACTTTATTATAAAGTCTTTTTTAAAAAATTACAAGGCTGGTGTGGGGGGTGCACACGTGTAATCCCAGCACTCAAGAGACTGAGGCTGGAGTACAGCTGCAAATTCAAGGCCAGTCTAAACTACCTAGCGACACTGTCTCAAAAAGAAAAAAATTACAAAAGCAGCTGGGTTGTGGCTTAAAGATTGTTTGTCTGGCATGTGCAAACCCCAGGTTCAGTCCCCCGCACAGCACACACAAAAATGATAGCTCTCTCTCTGATCCCTCTTCTAAGGCCTTTTTTGGTGCTGACTCACACCTGCAGTTTTTTGTTTTGTTTTATAGAGACTTGTGCTTTTTCTAATATGTCCTTTTTTGACTTAACTTTTTAATCTGTTTGAGTAGAGCTAGGAGGCAAACATAGCAAATGAATAAACTTGGTATACTGGAGGGGGGATGGTGGGGGGGAGGTGAGAGAATAAGACCGAGCAGATGGTGACCAAGAAGAAAAGGAAAAGGAAGAAGTAGTCTTTCCTGACTCTTATCCTATGAGACCATCTGCTAAGTCTCAAATCTATATCCTGGAATAGGTTTATTAAAGAGTCAAGGCAGCTAGGTGTAGCACTGGGAGGCTGAGACAGGAGAATTGCCAGAATTTGAGGCCAGCTTGGGCTGCAAAGCAAGATCCTGTCTCCAAAAACAAAAAATTTTTTTAATGGAGTTAAACCATAGGATTCACCCTTAGAAAACCTACCCTGGCTGGGGATTTAGCTCAGTGGTTCCACTGCCTGCGTCACAAGCCAAGGACCCAAGTTTGATCCCCCGTAACAAAAAGAAAAAAAAAAAAAAGAAAACCTACCCTGAAAAGTTTTTTGGAGAAAAGTATGGAGTTTCAATGGTTTTTGCCCCTCTTTGGGTTGTGAGTAAACACATTTTGCTGCTTCTTTCACTTTTCTTGTGACCCTGTTTATTTTGAATATTTTCTGCGTCAGCAAGTCCTTTTGGTTTAGTGATTTAATCTAGATTAAAACAAATGTTAAAAAAAGTTGTAGACAGCAAATCATCAAAAAGCATTAATGAAGTAACATTATTATTATGCTTATCAGTGTTAGGTAATATATGGATGCCTAAAATATTGGCTGGAGATTTTACACCTGCTAATAAAAATTTTACCTTAGCTATTTGATCATGATGAAAGGAATCTGCTAAGAAATACCTGCTTGGTGCAAAGTTGGTTTTGTGAATTAGCATTTTTAAGTTCTTTTCCTTCATCTCATTAACAGCTTTGAAAAACTAGAACAACCCTTTCAAGTAGAGAGTTCCACTGGTGAAAGTTCCTACATTAGGAATTAAGAAAAATTGAGAAGGTGGGCAGGGGATTTAGCTCAGTGGTGCCACCACCTGCCTCACAAGCGCAAGGTCCTGAGTTTGATCCCTGGTACCAAAAAAGAAAAGAAAAAGAAAATCTAGGGGGTAGGTTTAATCTCTCATTCCTTCTTTATGCCCATATGCAAAAAAGAAAGAAAAACTTGGATTTAAGGGATGGTGGGGAGAAAATAGGATGGGAAAGAGATGGTATTTAAAAAACAACTTATTTAAGTCCTCAATTTGAGAGTTACTTGATAGGACTACTAGATTTTTGGTTTTGTCTTCATATTAGCAGGATTTTATAAATTAAGAACTTGCACAGATGTTTTATATCTTCAAACAATAACATCTGTGTTTGGTGTTGTGAAGTATTTCTGTGACAGGGCAAGGGCATATATATGCTTAGGAATAAAAAGGATCCGAGGAACTCTTGAGAGCCCTGAATTTTCTCTTGAAAACACTTTGTACTTACTGACCCTGTTCTTGACTTCCTGAACCATTTCTTGGTTTTCTTCGTTTCCTAAGTTGAGTATCTTCATTGCTTGGTAAATTTCTCTGAAAGAGGAGGACTTTTTAGATTGTTCTACTTTGTCCTTTAAGAAAGCACAGGAGTAGAAAATATAGGACTTAGAATTAAGAATCCTAAATTCCAATCCTAACTCCAGGTTTGCTGAGCCTCTTAGGAATATTGTGCAGTTTTTGAAATGATATATTTGAAGTACTAATCGGCATCATTTATTGAACTTCCTTATGATAGATACTAAATGTCATCTTATTGACACTGCAGCTGTGTTACTGTCACTGCAGACTATCACCTGCCATTTGACACTTGAAAAAAAAAAAAGAATGGGCACAACAGAGTTTAAGTGCTTCCCCAGGCTCACATAGATGATATTCTGTGACTGAGCTGGAATTCAAACACCAGAGTTTTTGACTGTAAAGCCTGTTGTCACAATTGGTACTTGATAAATTTAGTGGAATATATGAATACAGTACTCAAAAACCAGCTTGGGGGTGGGTGTTAGACACAGTACACAAACTACATGAGTTTGGCCATCTAATATGGGCTGGTTTTTCTGTCACCTATTTGGGTAGTGAGGTGAATGGCACAGTGGGCTATTACCTCCTACTAGGGAGCCTAGAAAAGCAGGAATAGATTCAGTGAACAAGTAGGCCATCCAAGAGGTCATGGCAAGCACCAGAGAGTTGACTTGAGAACATAGAGCTCACTTGAGAACAGCCTCATGGTTCTCCAGAAGCAACACATCTAGGAAGGTGTCCCTGACCCTGTCCCCTTGAAGTTTGAGGGCCAGGATGCTATGGCAGGCTTCCACTCGTACGCGTGGTGATTCTTCAAAGTGGACAGCCCAGAGCAGGAGATCAGCCACCTGGGGATTCACTTCCCCAATCTGTCCCAACGCTGTGCAAAGCTGTGGAAATACAGAAGGCAGCATGTCCCACTGTTAAAGAGGAATGATCTCTGAGCATCCATGAGTAGATTATTGCAAACCATAGCTTTCCTTTTAGATGCTAACTAATCACCATTAGAATCTCAGGGATAAAAAATAAAACACCAAAACCAAAGAAAGTAGTGGGCTGGTGGGGGTTCGGTGGTAGAGCCCTCACCTAGCTATGTGCAGCCCTGAGTTTGATCCCCAGCACTACACACACATACAGGCTTCAGAGATAGATTAGAGTGGGATATTACTTCCAAAGGATTACTAGGACGATGTTTGATTTCACCTTTGTCCACAGACTAATGTGCCTAATTATGGATGAGATATGAGATATATCTTAGAAGAACAGCTGTTAGGGTTTGAGTCTTAAATACTCCACTCAAAAAAAAAAAAAAAAGGTCATGGCACTATTGGGAGGTTGTGGAAACTTTAGAAGTAGGGCCTGGTTAGAGGAAGTAGGTCAGTGGGGAGTGCCCTTAAATGGTATGTTAGACCCTTTGCCCCTTCCTCTCTGTTTGCGCCCCAGTTGCCACGATAGTCTTCTTTCTTACAGCCCCAAAGCAATGGAGCCAGCCAACCATGGACTGAAATTGTGAGCCAAAATAAATCTTTCCTCCTTTTAAGTTGATTTATTCAGGTATTTTGTCATAGCATGAAAAGCTCACAAACCACCCACTTAGTCAAGGTGTGGGGTCTAGAGATCTGCCAAAGGCCATGTCAAAAAAAGAACCAATGCCAAAGATCCTAAAAATAAATTAGGGAAATTAGCACAGTTTAAAGGCTCTAGCAGTCTTGAATCAGGTCTTTAACAGAGTGCTACAGTTGAAACCTCCGGGGAGTGCAAGATATATCCAGCAGTGGATACCTACTTGGAACTTATCCTTAATCCTGTTGTCAGGGACTGACTTGTCTGCCCTTTGCCTTAGGTTTGACTAGACCTAAATTTACTCAAAGCTAAAAACCTCCTTTCTCAGGCAAGGAACTTCTGAGAAACTAAGATCATCCTCCCCTAGTAGACTTTTCCCATACTAGAAACTTTCTGGGCATCATCAGATTAGCACAGGAGAAGTTATTTAAAGTTGAGTTGAAGCTGGATAAAGTGGTGCATGCCTGTAATCCCAGCACTCAGGAGGCTGAGGCAGGAAAACTGCTGTGAGTCTAAGGCCAACATAGTTCAGGACCAGCCTAAACTACATAGACACTGTCTAAAAACAAACAACAAAAACAAAACAAAACAGGGCACTACTCTAATACCTCGAATGGCAAAAGCTTTGATTTTCCAAAAAGGATCTGTCTGCATCAGATTTAGGAGGCATTCAAGCACCTTGAATAAATAGATAAAAGTCACTGTTGAATGAAGAGAACCAGAACAAGAATGAATTAGAAACAGGGATACTACATATCTCTAAATGGTGCTAGAACTGAAAAGTAACCTGTTGATTCTAGTGACAGATGAGCTGGTGCCTGAACTACTAACCTGTATACAACACATTACCAGAATTATCTGCTCTGTATTTCTCAGCCCACAGATCTGTGGCCATACAGACTTTCTGTGTGTGTTGGGGGGGGGGGGGGGTTGTGGATGGGGATCGAACTCGAGGCCTTCTGCTTGGTAAGGTGAGCTACACCCCCAGTCTCAGACTTCTTTTGAATACTTCAGTCACATTTTTTCTAATAATTATGTGTGAAGCTCCACTCACTGGAATTGATCCTAAAGCCTATCAGCACTAACAGGTGAGAGCAGGATTCAGAGGTATGTTCTGTCTTGAAGTCTAGGGAGCTGAGAGCTAAATGGTCGGTACAGACTGGTGTGGCCTATATACCCATCACCTTCCTAGTTCTGATCTCTTATTCTGTGTCCCCACAGAACAGTGAGTGTATTATGTACAACAAGGGAAGGTAATGCCCTCTTCTGGTCATTCAGGTAAGATGTGACCATTTTTCCCTGACTCACCATCTTGTTGTGGATCTGCCGGGCACCTGCTGCCAAACAGGCTGCCTGCCAAACTGCTACAAACTCATCAGAGAAGCACTGCAGGAAGCCTGGGAGAAGCTTGGCAGTCATGAGCTTGAGCCCACCTATCAGGGAGAGTGCTTTCATGCATTCCTGGGCATTTCCTTCAGCCAGTTTAACCCTGTGAAGCACAAATTGGTTTTATTTTTCTTCCTTAAATTTTCATTGCCTGCCGCCCACCCTCCAATGCCCTCAGGATAAAATCCAGCCACATGCCCATTAAAGTAAGGTTCTCTGGGCACAGACCTCAGTTGTGTTGAATCCCTACTATCTAGCATATGCTAGACTCTCTAGTGTATTGGATGACTAGATAAAGGAAAATATTATCTTGCACCCCCTGTGACAGTCAAATTCTCTCCACTGCCCTTACATGTGTGATGCTCAGTTGGCATTTGGCTCACAGTCTAGAATGACTATGCTGTCTTATCCATCCTCCATGAAACTTGGCCCTACTTCTGTAGCCCACCCTGAATATTCCATTTTTCCTATAGCAGGTATAATTTATGTCATTTGTTTTTAATATGATATGGTATTTTTATTTAGGCCTTGTGTATCTTGCTTGTGCTGCTCATCATAACTGCAGTATTTTTCAAACTTCCTTAGATGCCCAAAACATCACCCCTACATAAGTGAACTTAGTGAATGCTGCTTCCCCTAACCCCATTGTTAGTTTCTATAGGAACTGAACTTTTTACACTGGGACCTAGCACAATACTGAGCACGCAGAGGAGATCAACAAATGCTAGCTGGCTGGATCCCAGGCCTACTACCTGCTTCTAAGAATAGAAGTTACTCTCATGTTGACTAGGTCTTACCTAATTGTATCATGCACCTCTTTCCCAAGGCTCATTTGCCCCAGTGCACGGGCAGCTGCTTGCCTCACTTCCTTATTCCAGTCATTCCACATCAGCTGGATCAACTTATGTTTCATATCCTGTAAATAGGTATAATAATCTGCTGTCATTTATTGAATGTTAATGTTCTACTTGGCTTTGTGCGAGGTGTTTTTAACCTATCCTTTAGTCTCCCAAACCAGTGGGGAAATGTTCTTACCAGTCATAGATGACACATAAAGGCTTTGATTCACTTGCCCAGGGTTAACCTGGTGAGTGCCTAGAACCATGACTCAAATCCAGTTGTTGCCTAAGCTTATCCTTTAAACTATTGTATAGCATCAGGGTCAACATAGTCTCTATAAGAGACTTAAAATTTGAAAGTGATACTTAAAAAGGTGACCATTCCATTCTGATTTGCCTAGGACTTTGCTGATTTCAGTACTGAATGTTCTGGACCAGTGATGGTGAATCTTTTAGAGATGAGTACCCAAACTGCAACCCAGAACCCACTTATTTATCACAAAGTACCAACACAGCAATTAAAACTGAATCCTGAGGTTTTAGTTTAGAAAAAACAACTCATACATTAACATCTTTTATCTTAAAGAAAACACACATGCCATAAGTTGACCACTACTCTGGAAAAACCAAGACAGTTGGTCACCCTGTCAGTCTTTCTCTTGGGGGGGATAAATGGTACTAAAGTTGTAGGTGGTGATGGTATAAATGTGGGCAAGCTATTCTCTGCCTAAAACATCTCTCCTCTACCCCTACCTGGTGCCCAGTGTTTTCCTACTCGGTAGGATTTAACTCTAAATGCATGTCCTTAGTGAAGTCTGCCCCATGGAACCATAGGAAGTTCCCATATCTCATAGCTGCTTCCGTCTAGGTTATGTATAACATTTACCAAGGGAAGATAATATCTTTGCATCCCCGATGCTAGCATGATGCCTAGCAATGTAGGATGGGGCAGAAACTGTTTACTGAATGAATGAGACAATTCATAGACACATAGCCTTCCCTAAATCCAGCATTCTGCTCTGAAGTCCTCATCTTTACCTTGTTCACTGCTACCTCTACATGTCTGTTTACTTTGAATTAGTAATCCTGAGTGATAAGTGCTGAGGAGGTGAATGTGTGATGATTCAGATGTTAAAGGTGTATAAATGCAAATTCTGATTGGGTTGGCCAAATGTGAGATTTCACACCCCTCACAGGTAATGCCTGTGCTGTGGTTCAGGACTTGTCCACCTGGCTGGAACTATGTTTTAGTTTAAGGAGTTTTTATAGGTAGGGTTTCACTATATAGTCCAGGCTGGCCTTGAACTCACTATGTAGCCCAGGCTGGCCTTGAATTTGCAATCCTACTGCTTCAGCCTCCCAAGTGCTAGGATTTACATGCATGTGCCATCGTGCCTGGCTCTGGCACTATGTTTTATACTTGTGTGTGCAGACCACTCAGAGAACCAGCACAGGCACTTGGTATGTTGGGTTGGGTCTTTACACTTCTTAAACTGTGTGAAACTTTAGAGCTGGAGTGGGGTAAAAATATATCATTGACTGATACTTTTATAAAAGCCATTGATATTAAGGCAATGTCAAATAATTATAAAAGTTTCTTTAAAAATTTCTTCCCTTAGTTTTTTTTTATTTTGTTGTGGCTCTGTTACAGTTTGTGGACTATCACCATACTGAGAAGCACTGGATATGTTGACATTTGAAGGTAATTCTTTGTAAGAGGTAGCAATGTGGGGACAGAACTCTGTTTGGCAAGCGTAAGATACTATACAGTAGGAAAAAGTAGAAAGGATCCTTATAGCCCAGCCTTACTTAGGTTTTCTTTCCTGGAAGCAAAGAAAGAAAGCTTACTAAACAGACATTTCCACTGATCCTAGAGAAAGCCCAGCAGGCCACAGTCTGGTCCTTCCATTGATGGCTATTCAGTTCCACAGCAAGCATGGTGTGTATCAGGGTCTGAGGAAATGGAAGAACTTGTATCAATGTATCAATAGTCTTGATTACTTTTAGAGATACTGGAGTCTTGAAGTTATGTCATAAATGGCATCAAGCATAATTAATGTCGCAAGAGCATGAGATACCCATCCCTAACAAAGGACAGAGTGAGTTTACAAGAGATGGGCACTCCACCATCCATGCTGCCTGACTGGTATCATACATCAGGGAAGAAACTATGGATTTAGTAACATAAACAATCTTCCTGACTTTATTTTTACCCAACGATGATTTATTTATGCTCCAATCATTGTTTCCTATTTCTTAGGGAAGAAACTAAACAATTGTAGGTCTGTGTGGTTTTCAGTGGTAAACCTCTATCAGCTGTCACAATTCCTCTTGTATAGTTAGAAATCATTTGCAACTTACTTCGTGCTTTTCTCAGCTAGCTGTTATCAAGTCTCTCTGTATACACTTCCACGCCCACGTTTACCCACATTTGGTGCACTTTTACTTATGCTTGAGATTATCCTACCCAACTACCTGCACTTTGGATTCCTTACATGCACTGGTCACAAAGATCCAATTATTTCCCAAAACTTAGTTTTCTCTCTGAGCCATAAGGGGCACATACTGTCTTTCCACTGAGATGGCACAGGAGGATACAAGACTGGTTCTCAGTGTCTTCATGCGTCTTGTTAAACAGCTGATGGAGAATCCTCTTAATTACCGGGTAAGTAGCAATACCTTTGACAGCCAAGCACTGAGCTGCAGCCCAGCTGTCCGCACTATTACCTGCCATGGTAGGATAAAAAAATGAGCCCAGAATGGGGATGTTTCCCATAGATGGAGAGAATAGTTAGCACTTTTGGCCAATCACCTGACCGAGCCATGTTTTGTTTTGTTTTTTTGAGACAGGGTCTCACTATGCAGACTGGCTTCGAACTATGTAGCAGCCCCAGGCTGTCCTTGAACTTGCAACAATCCCCTTGCATCAGACTCCCAAGTGCTGGGATTATAGGCGGGCATCACCACACCTGGCTGGAGCCATTTTGGTCAAATAATTCCAACAACTCATGTGAATGATCCTTGGAAGTTACTATACAAAATGGAAGCAAGATGTGCTCAGGTGGTGATTTTTAAAATTTTAAAAATGTATTTGATACTGTTCAATCTTTTCAATAAAGAAAATCAGGTTGTATGAAAAAGGCTATGGATTTTTTAAAACATGTAATAATAGTACACATTAATGGAGTTTGGTGTGATATTTCAATGCATGCATATAGCACACAGTGATCAAATCCATTCTCCCTTTAGCTCTCTCCTCCCTTACCCCCTATTTCCCAGCCTCTAGTATTCACTATTCTACCTGCAGGTTGACTCAGAATATGGGGTACTGATTTTCCTGAGTCAGGCTTATTTTGCTTAATATATTGTCTTCCAGGTCCATCCAGTTTAGGGCATAATTTTTAATCAAATGCCTCTATGAAAAGCTTAGTTTTGTATAAGTACCTAGGAAGAACTGATTTCTGAATGTTCTAACATAAACCCAAACCTGATGCAGCAGACATCTCAGAGCATAAGTGGAGAGGAAGTCTATGAAAGCTGATGGTGAGAGATACCCTCTATCCCATATTCCCAGGTCAGCAGTGATGAAGTTACTCACCCTTCACAAGGGCTGTCTCCATGACGTCCCGGGCAAGGGGATTATGTGACTGTGTGGCATATTGGCATAGTGCTGCTGCTATCCTCACACTGACATTCTTGTCACAAAGAGCAGCCTCCAGGGAAGGCTGTAGAGCCTCTAGCAAGTCCTGCATAAATGGCTTCACGTCTGTGATCAAAAAGAGCCAGGTAATGCTGGGTATCTTCCCAAAAGAATTAAAAGAATCATGCCACAGTGATATATGTGCACCCATATTTATAGCGGCACAGTTTGTAGTAGCAAAAGCTTGGAAACAGCCCAAGTGCCCATCAACTGAAGACTGGATAAAGATGTGGGTTTTTTTTATAAAATGGAGTACTACTCAGTCATAACGAGAAACTAGAGACATTTATAGCTAAATGGATGCATATTGAGGCCATCCTCTTAAGTGAAATAAATAGGACACGTGTAAATACCAAATAGTTTCTCTGGTGTGAAAAACTGAAAGTGTATATAAGGATTAAAATGATTAAAATGAATAATTGATAATTTGAAATAGGAAGAAAAGGTCCAATGGGGGAAGGGAAGTGGGAGGGGAAGGGGAAAGGAAAGAAGGGAATGGAAAAATTATAAGAAAAGGAAAAAAATGCAAATTTCCAGTGATGAATGTCATTGTATTGTATACCTAAAATGTACCAATAAAATAAAACAAAGGAAACAAAGTCTTTGTAAATAGGGAAGGGTGGAGGGGTGAAGGGAGCACAGGGAATAGGGAAAAAAATAACCAAGATACATCATGTACAGGTACAAATACCCAATGATAAATGTAAACGTATACCTAAAATGTACCAATAAAAGAATTTAAGCAAAAAAAAAAAAAGGCCGGGGAAGAGGCCTAGCCTTTTGTCAGGTACCTACTGCTACTTAATGTAATCACAGGTCAGCTATCCCCCTACACCTAGCAGGATTTTATGCTCAAGGGATTACAGCATGTGCCTATCTGTGCCAATATGCCATTTCCTGTCCTTTTATCATTTGGCCTATGAAGTGCCGTATTCAAGCCAAAGAAGAATGTTTCCATCCGAACTATGGTGACCTTATCAATATTTTTGTGGCAAAAATCAACCTGTTTATCCTACAAGACTTTAGGGGCAGGGCTAGGTCTGACTCAGACTTCTCTGATTTATAATCATTTGTTTTTACTAATGCAATGGGTCACTATGGTATCTATTAGAAACATTACATGCGAATTGGGCACTCTTGATCCCCTAATCCAAAATGCTCCAAAATTCGAAACTTTGAGCACTGACATAATACCGCAAGCGGAAAAATTCCACACCTGACCTCATGTGATGGGTTTCAGTCAAAACACAGGCACAGTTAAAAAAAACTATATGAAACTGAGTGGGATCACATTCTGCAGTACTGAGCAGAGATCCGGCATGGCTTCCAGTCTTCCAGTTCTGTGCGACGGAAGGGACGCACTGCGGTGCGCCCACTATGGAGTCGAAGTGGCAACCCAGGCAGGGCCTCTCTGGGTGTGAGGCTCGGGAACTGGGCGTTGTGAAGTCTGTGTCCACGCTCTGGTAGCCGGGATTGGGGCAGCTTTCCGCCGCGGAGGAGGGGAGAGGGAGCGGGGAAAGGAGGAGGATGATCGGGATCTCGACTGCCTCCTTCAGTTCTCCTCCTGCAAAGCCAACCCTTCCCGCTGGATGGTGGAGCATTCCAGGAAAGGCGCAACAGTGGCGCTGGTGGAAAGTGCTGCCCCTCCGCTTCTGCCACAGACCTGTCCTTTTTTTTTTTTTTTTTCCTATGGGGGATCGAACTCGGGACCTTGCGCTTCCAAGGCTGGCGCGTGCCACTGAGCTAAATCCCCGGCCCTCACAGGCCTGTCGTCTTGTGCTGAGAGAGAGCGAGGCGGGCCGATGGTTGAGGCAGGTGGTGCCCAGTGATGGCTCTTAAGAGCCTAGAACTCCCGCTGCCTGCATGGCGAGTATTTAACAGGGTGCCTGCTGGGGCTGGCGGGGAGGAAACGGGCAGGTGCCTTTTGGATTTATCCGACGTTGCGTTTGACGGTTTCTGTCCTGGTTATGGTTTGTCTTCCTCTCATGGACCCAGTTGGTGTTCTTGGCGCTGACACGCCTGAAGGCAGAGCAGAAAGCAGCTCAGAACCTGCCGCTTGCCTCACACCGGTGTTCAGAGATTATGTCTAAAAGACTTTTCAGGTCCGTGGAACCACCTTTGGCTTCACTGAGTGCTTTTGGAGTTGTGGGATGTCTCTGTACAACCTAATCATGTTTCCAAAGCAGTTCTTGTGATACAATCCAATGTTGTTTTGCAGATCGTTTGCTTTCTGAGAGAATAACTGGCAGAAGTGTTCAATTTTGCTTATAATGTACTGTTTGTGTAAATAACATCTTTGTGTGTGTTTGTGTAAATAACATGTTTTACATGCTAACAAAATATATTTTGATAATGTTGAACTAAAATCAGAATACATAAAACTATCTTCAGGTTATGCATATAAGGTATATCTGAAAGAAAAATGAATTTAATGTTTAGACTTGGGTCCCATCCTCAAGATATCTCACAATGTATATTCAAATATTCCTAGATCTGAAAAAAAATCCAAAAAATTTTTGGTCCCAAGCATTTCAGACAAGTGACACTAAACCTGTAGATGGAGATATATGTATTTCAGGCAAAGAGATGTAACAAGTCAATTGTGTATTTAAAAAATAAGGTAATTTTCTTGGGGGAAGTTACAAAAGAAGTCCAAGTCTAGACACCCAGGACATGTGAAAAGGATCACACAGAAGGCATATTTCTGAGCAAGACACAGACATTCTTTGTACAGTCATGGCCATATAAAATGACGTTTTGGTCAACAACAGACCACATATATGATGGTAGTCCCATTAAGATAATCTTGTCTTGGGCCAGGGATGTAGCTCAGTGGTGCTGCACCTGCCTCTTAAGCGCAAGGTCCTGAGTTTGATCCCCTGTACAAAAAAAAATAGATAATCTTTCCTTATGTTGTAGATTTTTTTTTTTTTGTACCGGGAATCAAACTCACGATCTTGTGCTTAGGAGGCAGGCGTGGCATCACTGAGCTAAATCCCCGGCCCTGTTGATGTTTTTGTGTAAATACCACTCCATGATGTCTGCACAATGATGCTAAAGACACATCCCTCAGACCTATCCCCACCCTTAAATGGTACATGGTTGTACGTGGAAGATTCAGGTATTAGGATATAGTATCTATTGCCACCCATCAGAGGTTTTCTCTTTGTGTTGCCCACTGACAATACTTTGTCCTGTTTAATAACCAAGGAAATAAGCATATATAACAAAAAATGTACATGAATGGAAGCATATGGCAGGGACACTGAGCCAAGTCTAGGTGGTAGGGCAGGGAAAGTGCCTCAAAAGTGACATCTTAGCTAAAAACTGAAGGGCAAGTGGAGTTTATCAGGTGAGAAGAGAGAAATATTCCAGCAGAGAGAACAGGAAATTTAAAAACCAAACATTAATCTGGGGAGTGATGTGTAGAATGGAGTAGGGTTGGAAAGTGGGTGGGTAAGGTTTTTACCTCTTTAAATTCTTGTGTTGATTAATAATAACATTTTATATTTCTTTTATAAATAAAAAATATTTAGGAAGGAAAATGTCCATATCTGGAACCAAATAAACAGGAAATAAATGAAATAAAACTTTAAAAACCTGACAACTGCTCTTGTTGCTTTGCTACTGTCTGTCCACCATGAGCTGTTGTCCCTCTGCCACCCTGCCTTGGAGCCAGCTGATTATGGACTGAAACCTCTACAAACTGTAAGCTGAATAAAACTTTTTGCCTTAAAAAAAAAAAAAAACTTGACAACTTAGCAACTTAGTAGAGGTAAAATTAGTCCCTGCCTTTAAGAAGTTCCTTCCCTGGTAGTGATAGAGAAAGGTATACAATTAGAGAAGTATGAGGACAGACGTCAACCTAGATGTAACCAGCAGCAGAGAAGGGGCAGATTAACTCAGGTTTTGTATAAAAGATAGTATCTGAGGGCAGTTGCAAAACAAGTAAGGAAGGCCACAGTTTGTCTTTTCAACGTGCCATCATCTGTGACCTGTATCTTATTCAATTACCTCCTAGGGAGTTACATTTTTGGCACTAGTAGATAGGAAAGAAAAACTATAGATGTTTCTTTTTTCCAAAAGATTACAGACTTGTAATTGGGAAAAAATAAAAAAGTTCTTCATTTATTTTACAAAGTTCTTGTCTTAGAGTAGAAACACTCTAAAACTTAACAAAATAGTATAAGTAAATAAGACTACAAAATGCACTGATGTAACAAAAAATTCTAATGTCTCAACAAATTAAACCCAGAGCTGGAGAGTTAGCTCAGTGGTTTCGCCGCCTGCTGCGTAAGCACAAGGACCAGAGTTCGATCCCTGGTACCAAACAAAATGAAACACAAAAACAAACAAAACAAAACACAAAAACAAACAAAAAAATAAATTACACCAGGAAGAAAATAATATAATCATGATTCAGTAGGATTTATTCCAAGAATCTTGTGTTTGTGTGTGTGGGTAGGTGTTTTGGGGTATGTGGGTGTACAGTACTAGGGATTGAACCTAGCCCTTTTTGCTATTTTAAAATTCTGAGACAATGCTGCTAAATCATTACATTGCCCAGATTGGGCTCAAACTTGTACTGTTCCTGCCTCTATTCCAAGAATTCAACAACAGAATTTATCAGATCCGATCCACAGATTACAGGGAAAAAACTACAGCCTGCTCAATAAAATACTCAATTTTGTAATAAATTTAAAAGTCCACTTGTACATTAGCATAAGTTTGTAAAAGCATAACAATATGTGGTGCCACCAGCTGCCTCGAAAGTACAAGGTCCTGAGTTTGATCCCCAGTACCAAAAACAAAACCAAAACATAAAACAATGTGAAGTGCTCAGCTGTAAACATTGGTTAACCTGGGGAATGATGGACAGAGTGGTATCAGGATTGGAAAACAGGACAGAGGTTTTACCTCTTTTTACATTCCTGTGTTTTGATGAATAATGATATTTTATAGTTCTTTTGTAATCAAAAAATGAAAAAATAAGAAGTAGTCAGTAGTTTTCAATGATCAGTTGGTTATGGTAGATGAAAGATTTTACCTAGGATGACTCCCAGGGGCCTAGCTTATAAACTGGATTGGGGAGCTGCTGATTGAGATTTGGAATGTGGGGCGCAGGGTCTGTGTCAAGGGTGATGAATTCAGTTTTGAGCATGTTGAGTTTGAGATGTGCTGTCCAAAGAAGAGGTAAAATGGAGTTGGGAGAATACCCACATGTATGTTTTAAATATAGTTTTTGGCTGCTATGAATATGAAGTGTGAACTTTCTTGCAAGGCATGAACAAACAAGGTAAAGAGCAAAAAGTACTTGTGGTAGAGCACACTCTTAGCACATCTGAGGCTCTGGGTTCATATCGAGCACCAAAAAAAAAAAAAAAAGCACTGGACTAGAGGTGAAGAATGTAAGAATTGTCATCTGTCTCTACTACTGATAAGCTGTATGTATTCAGGACAGTCTCTGGGCCTTGGTTTCCACATTTGTAAAATGGTCTTAGATAAACTCTGAGGTCCCAGCCAGTTCAGATGTTCCATGGTTTTATGAATTCCAGATGTTTTCAAGCAGTTCAGCCCTAGCTCTCACCTGAGTCCCTTGGGCTGGGGGCAATCCGAGGCCATTCCAGAGCAGCTGTGGCACATGTGATGATAGCTTGGATCCGAATGTGATCATATATGTCTTGTAAGCCTTGCATCAGGCTCTCCACTGTCTCGTGGTGCCACTCGATGACTGTGTCCCAGTGACAGAAATGAGAAAGGAACCACCTGGTTAGGATTAGATATTGTGCTGCTGGCAGATGACAAGAAGTGCCTTTTCCCCAGGACAATTCAAGCAAAACGTCAGTTTAGAAGATTAAAAAATTCAGAGATGGGCTCCTTATGTAAGTTATTTCTCTGATGATCCATATACCTCTCAGTTAAATCCCCCAATCCAATCTTATACTTACACTTTTTGCTTACATAACTTTTTTTTTTTTTTTTTAAAGACAGGGACTCACTCTGTAGCCCAGGCTGATCTGGAACTTGCTCCGTAAGCCCAAATTGGCCTCAAACTTGTGATCCTCCTGTCTCAGCCTCCTGAGTGCTGGATTACAGGTTTGTACCACCATGGCCAGCTTTAACTAACTTTTCATTCTAACCATCTGAAAATAAAAGAGGCAGTAAAAAGTGTAATGATTGGCTGGTGAGGGTGGCAATTCCTGTAGTCCTAGCTACCTGGGAGACTGAGGTGGAAGGATCACTTGCGCCCATGAGTTCAAGACCAGCCTGGGCAACATAATAAAACTCCATCTCTTGCTACGCAAGCGCAAGGACCCGAGTTCGATCCCTGGTACCAAAAAAACCAAAACAAAACAAAACTCCATCTCAAACAAACAAACAAGTAAACATCCCCATGTGGCTGTGAGTACTTTGTTGGCAGAGATACCTGATTTGGAAACAGTTATTAGCTATGTGACCTTGGATAAGACCTTTCTGAGCCTGAGATTTCTCATTTGTAGTATAGGAGTAACACTAAATCCATCATATTGAGTTACACTGAGAATTAAATCCTTAACTTGACAAAAGTGTTTAGCAAAATGTCTGACAAGATAATGAGGGTTCAATAAATATTAATTTTGTTTTAGTACTAGGGATCAAAACCAGGGCTTTGTGCATGCTAGGCAAGTGCTCTACCACTGAGCTATATCCCCATCCCAACAAAGGTTAGTTATTGTAATCCAATTTCCTTGCATTTGAAGGCTGTTCATTCTAGCTTTCAACAGCTCCCTCATTGTACTGAAATTGCTAGTTGCCCTCTTTGAAGGTATGATACTGTTATTACAGTGCTCCTACTCTCTATAGGCACTCTCCACTTGTATCTTTTACTCAGAATCTCTTTTTCAACCTTTTTTGTTTTCTGATCCCCCTTACCTAGTAAATCATCTCTCCTGCACTAACTAATCTCATTTTTCTGAAACCCAGAAGTCTTTGAGTTCTCAAATAGTTCTAAAAGTTCTTTCTAGGCCATTACCTGCCCCAGACACTTAATCCTCTACTTGGCTATCTTTGGAGGAAAAGTAGATACATGATAACCGCCGCAACTCTGCCACAGAGTTGATCTTTACATGTCCAAATGCTTGGGTAGCATATTTTGTCTTTTCCTTCAGGCATCAAATATTTTGTAAAGTTTCAGAAATCAGTAAGACATGGTCCCTGCCTATGAAGATTTCTCAGTGCAGCGAATTTCTACAAATTACTGAAGACTGGCCCATGCCAATAAAAAAAAAAAAATCAGATATATGTAACTAATGTTCACCTAACACCCACTGTGTGAAAACTTATCTAGTCTAACCTTAATGAGGCAACCAAGTTTTTACATTTTACAAGAGAGGGATGGATTTGAGAGAGATTGAGTAGCATTAGTCCAAGGTGAGACCTATTCCCCTCCACTCACTCAGGCCCCAGGCAGTCTTCCATTCCTGCACCATCCTCCTCAGAACCACCAGTTCCCAAGTCACATCCTCCACCAGTGATTTCACCAGCTTCTTGGATTTCCTGGTCTTGATGGGCACATCCTCCTCACCCACCTGCAACAGCAGATCTTTGGCTGGAGTGGGTAGAGCAGTCCAGCGCAGGGCTCCTTTCACGGGCCTACAAGCTCTGCAACACGGCAGCATGAGGTATCTTCCCTGACTGCCTTAGGCCTTGCCACACAGTGGTCCCAGCTAGTTTCCCATTCCTACTCCTACTAATACCAAGGCAAAACAAATCCCTTGAGAGTGAACTTTCCCATGATTATATAAGGAACTGAGTAGAAGTTCCACAGGGAATTAGGAAAAGACTTGAGTATCATATAGTAAGCTAAGATGATGATAATGAGACAGATTTTGAGAGGTGGTAGAGATATACACAACCCTTTTTATAAGTGTAATCAGTACTTAGGAACACAAATATGTTTATATGTGACAAGATTTGCTTATAAAATTCACTATTTGAGATGCAGGTACAGTGGTGTATTCCTGTAATCCCAGCTACTATAGAGGCTAAGGCATGAGGATCACAAATTTGAGGCCAGCCTGAGCAATGTGGCAAGATCCTTATCTAAAAGTAAAACAAGCTAAAATTTTTAAAAATTCAATATTTGATATGTTGAAATTTACAGTGTAATTGGCCATTGATTCATTATTAAGTTTTTTCTTTAATCTTTTTTGAGGGAAGGAATAGTGCTATGAGTGGTTAAGTTTTAAAGATTTTAATATCTCTGAATTTGTCTAGTTATGATAAATAACAGCCAGAAATTTGAGAATGCTGGGCATGGTGGTGCACGCCTATAATCCCAGCACTTGGGAGGCTAAGGCAGGAGGACTGCCAAGAGTTCAAGGCCAGCCTGGGTTACACAGGAAGACCCTGTCTCAACCTCCACCCCCACAAAGAAATTTGAGAACAGAAGAAACCATATATACTTATAAATATAGTTACTTCTGGTTGTTATATAAAAATGGTTATGGTTATGTTTTGTTCTTCATGGTGTCCAATGGTTTTAGAAAGCCTCTTAGGAGAGAAATTGTGTGGAGGACAGGAAGGGAAAACAGATAAAAGCATTTCCAAACTTATTAAATACACTGTTTGCCACATTGCCTATTAGTCTCATGTTCCATTCTATCACTGTCAGTTATTTTCTTCCAAAATTTCATTCCAACTCTTAATACCTTTAGATTTGCTTTGAATCAGTTCTTTCCTTTCAGCAAGGAGGGCAATAACCTCTCCAAGGCTCTTCCTAGATATTAGTATTTTATAATTTTGAGAGGTGCTTTTTAGTTGGTAGGGAGTTCCCCCATTGCTGGGGGTGCCCCTAGCCCATGAACTAGGAATCTTAAAAAAAAAAAAAAAAAAAAAGCCACACTTCTACCACCCTCGCCCCCATCAGTTTCCTGCTTACGTGCTTCAGGAACAGGCTGGAAACTCCACTTTTCTGGAGTTTCAGGGAAGATCTTACATAATTGTTTGTCATACCAACTGCAGTTTTCCAGAAAAATATGGTTTCTCTTTCCTCCAATGTTGTGGATGATCTGGACTCCATCTGTGAACAAAGAAACAGTGAGTCCCCCTCACTCTTGCCTCTTTTTCTTTTTTTCCTTTCCTTTCTTCCTGGGTTTACACTCATCAGGAACCAACTTTCTTTTGCACTAATCTAAGCTCCTAAAACCGAAGATTACCATACTGTGAAGCATCCCTTGAATGTGATTCTTGCTTAGAAATGTCACAGTTGTCTGTGGCTGTGTAGAGAAGCTTCATAGAGGTATGGGAGCCAAGGATGGCATTTTTCATACTAAGGCAGAATGTGTTTAACTTCTAGGCATTGTCCCCCATGATACTACTAGTAAAGAAATGGCAGTTGTGCTCATCAGTCATGAATATTTTAGAATAGTTTTGTTAAACCCTTTAAGAAGACCCAGTTGACACCAGTGTAGGAACAGGATGAGGGTTGGAAAGAAGAAACAGATTGGAACACACTCTGGAAGCCCGTCCATCTAAAAAACAAAGTGGAAGGGGGGAGTAATGGGAATTTACTGAGCACCTCTATGTGCCAGGCTCTGTGTAAAAAGTGTTAACAGCTGCTTCCTTGTCTACTCTGCTTAAAGTGCATTTTTGTTAACGTTGTTTTATAAATGAGGTTTCTAAGCCTTAGAGGAAAATGTTCTGAAGTGTAATAAGGAGTTGAGCCAGGATTTAATTCCAAATCTGCCTGGTTCCAAAGTCCATGATATTTTTTCCAACATGGCACCTTGTTGGGGACTATCTCAAAGTGAGGGAAGGGAAAGTGTGGACAGAGAAGAGAGGTTGCTCCCACAGTCAAATCTTGCTGACCTTACAATCCCACCTTGGACTCCCTCCTTAGTAAGATAGAGAAGAGGAAAAAGAGAACTGTTTATTTCCCACTGGAAATCACTGCCCACCCCAACCTGTGCTAGTACCCAGGAGATGTATCATGAAAACCAAGAGTACCCAGGGCTTCTCATTCCCCACCCACGACTGTCTCCCTCCCCAGCTTCCTACACCTCCCTGGTCCATGCTCATCTATGTCCCCACCATAGGGCCCCAGTGCTATTACCAAAGTAAATCTCCTGTTCAAAGGTGTTATCTGTGGAGTAAGCAAACTTTCCAGCTTGAAGATTCACTTGTCGAAAGCAGCTCTGCTTTGGGGGCTGGGAGGTGCTTTTCTTTTCCTTGATATCCTCAGCCGTTGTATTCTTGCTGGGCATGCTTTCAACTGTCTGTACTTGTGGGGAATAACTGGGTAATCTTGGCAGGTGTAGAGGGGGGAAAGGAGGAAAGGTAGGAGGTGCCCCACTTTCCATTGGGAGCACAGCTCATTTAAGCTCAGCTCCTACATGTGTGAGCATCTGAAGAACACTAGTGTTTATTAACCTTTCCACTAGTGTCAATTGAATATGGAGCCACAAGAAGGACCTGTCTTCAACAACCTAGCCCCTCCACGATGAAACCGTGCCTTTGGCAGCCAGAACAACATGATAAGGCACCATGCTAGGGCAGCCATACTCCCAACATAACTCTGTGTGTGCGTGCGCGTGTGTGTGCATGCGCGTGTGTGTGCATGTGTACATGCCTGGTGCAGGGGATAAAACCCAAGGCTTTATGCAGGCTAGAAAGATGACTTACCACGGAGCTACACTCCAGCCCATAGCATAACCCTTTTTTGACACTGTTCCCTTAGAGGTTGCCCAGACTTGGGGAACCTCTATATTACCTCATGTTAGTGTGGTGTGGTTATTTAATGTTGGCCCACCCAGTGGACAGGCTACAAGCTCCTGAAAGGTACAAATCAGCCCTTTTACGCTGTAGTCCCTGGCACTTGGCAGACTAAACTGAAAGTAGCAAAAAGACAATTTATATTTTCCCAGTAAATGAATAAACATTTCCACTTATTTTTAATTCCTTTTTGGAAATCAGGGCTATTATAATAGCTCCAGCCTTCACTTTAGTTATAAACAAGAAAGAAGCAATCTGAGAAATAGGGAATCACTTTATTTGCCAAGGTTACTTGGTTCTGTCCTATAGCTGCTTTGAGTTTCAGTCTCGTGACACACTGGTTCCTTATTCAAAGTGAGGCAGGACCATACTTCGGTCCCATGAAGTGTCTGCCTTCCTTATTCTCATGATGGGTATATTTCTGGGATGCTTGAATGGTAACTGGATCAGCAGTCTGATAGCTGACTCAGGTGAAGGCCAAGAACTGATCCTTTTAAGGCAATTGTCCTCAACTGGCGGCAGTTTTGCCGCTCAGAGACATTTGGCAGGACAGTATCTCAGACATCTTTGGTTGTCAAACCAACTACTAGCATCTAGTGGGTAGAGACCACAGATGCTGCTAACATCCTACAATCCACAGGGATCCCCTTACAACAAAAAGCTGTCCAACCCAGGTTGTCAGTATTGCAGTGGCTAAAAAACCTTAATTTGGGGAGCTCCCAGACACTAGGTTGTTGGTGGAGAACATGTGGTTGATGGGAGAGTGCATTCCAAAATAAGAGTTATGCCCTGGGGTGTAGCTCAGTGGTATAGCACTTGCGTAGAGATCCCCAGAACAAAAAAAGAGAGAGAGAGAAAAAAAAAAAGAACAAATAAGATAAAATAGAATAAAGTATGTAAGAACACCTGTGAGTCCTTGAAGAGGAGCCAGGGATTTTCAAAGATGTACCTAAAGCCTGGCCAGCTTACCTGTAGTAAACAGGAAGCAGCAGCTCTGGTTTCTTTTCTCCCTGGGGGAGCAGGATGATAGTTTGACCCTCAAACTCTGCTGTCTCTTCTGCTTCCAGCTGTTTCAGGAGCTCCAGGTCTGTAGCCGAGGTGAGTTCATCCTGGATATGGCTCCAGTCATACTGCTGGCTCAAGAAGCTCTGCCACTTGTTGGGTGATACTCCAGGCTTTGCGGGATGCTTGTTCTGGATCCATCAGGCTGTGCGCTTGTTCAGCTTTTCCAACACAATGGTCTCCCAGGCTCTGTCTTCCTTCTCAGAAGGTGGAAGCCAGACGTCCCTTTCCACATCTGGAGAAGGTGGCAGATCTAGCATATCTGGATTCTTGCTGGGCGAAGGCATGAGAGAGTGAGAAGTTTCCTGGACCATGCATTCTGGCTTTGGTTTCTTTCGCTTCTTTTCAAAATGGGGAGAACTTTCTGTCTTCCCAGCCTGGGGGGTGTCTCCTGCCAAGGGTCCTGAGGGATGTAGGAGCCTGAAGCTGACACGTTTCTCAGGTTGGGCTTTCCTGACGTGGGGAGGCTGGATGATGTCGTCTGTGTTGTAGAGGTGGTCAAAGCTGTACTGGCTGTAAGACACGCTGGGCAGCCCTCGCTGCCACACCACCTCTGCAGAGGACAGGTTTGCAGCAGCCTTTTTCAGATACTGGCTCTTGAGATGCGTTGCAGTGCTGGGGGCAGAAGTGGAAGATGGGTGGCATACCGGAAATGGAAGCACATTCCTCCCTGTCCTTCAGTTTTGAGAAGCAGAAAGTCATACCCTATCCCAGCCGTGGGTTGAGTCACTGAGGATGGCCTAGAAAGATCTTTCCCTTTTGGGACGTGGTCATATTGTTTCCCAGCAAATGCTTCCTTCCACACTACCTGGTTCAGAGGCAGGACCTGCAGCTGTGACCAGGCACCTGTTCAAGTGATAGAAGGAGTTGGTGAGAACTGAGGTCAGCAGAATTTGGAAGCCCATAGCAGAACAGAAAGAGTGTCTTGGAAGACAGACAAGAAGAAGAGTGTGGTGGAAAGGAAAAGCCATTTGAATTAGAACAAAAGAAAGACATGGTACAACATTCTAAATATTTCTTGTATCAGGCCCTTGCTTCCAATTCTCACATTTGTCCCCAAAGTGCAGATGCTCATCTCCTTGTGAGGGATTACTGCCTTTCAACAGTGCCTCACTTTTCCCATTTTTCTTTAGCTGCTGCTTTTTCTCTGTTCAAAGGCTTAGAGTATAAAACACAAACAACTCAGCCTGGCACTCAGGGTTTTCTACGAGCAGGACCTCAGCTTATGACTTTGTCCTGACCTGTGACCTCGTCTTGAGCTAGCCAAATCCCTCACTGTTCTCTGAGTATTCCTCTCTCCACCCAATGGAGCTTCCTCTTGTGCCCTCTTTGTGAAATTGCTTTTCTGCCATACTTGACACAAAAATCCTGTCCATTGTTTTAGGCTTAGCTGTGTTCCTACATGCCTCTCCCATAGCTCCTACAGGCTGCCATGTCATATCTGAATAATTTATAAATCCCTCTTGGTCCATACCACTTATTTTAGTTCTAAGTCCTGTGACACCTCACAATGTTAAGTATTGGCTTTCTAACTGTATTGCCCAGTGACCATGTCTCCTGTCTCTTCTGTCCTTCAAACCACCCGTAACCTTAATTGTTAAAATACTCAAGGTATAGTATATTATCAAGTAGGTTCCTCCTTAATTATTGTAGGCTGTTTTCAGGTTGTTAGCTAACAGATAAAACTGTAGGAAACTGGTGTTTAGATTTAGTGTTTCATTTTGTTATTTCTTTCTGAACCACTCTCTTGGTCTAATGGTGATAATTGGTAATTAGAGCACTGTACTTGTTCAAGATATTATGATCTGGGAAGAAGCTGAGGCTCAGAGAGATAAGTAAATTATTTCAGATTGCCTGGCTGGTAAGTAGGGGAATGAGATCTGCAGTACTGCAACTCCATAGCTTTTGACTTCTGTGCCACTCTGGCCTTGGCTCAAGCTCTACTTCTTTTTTTTTCTTTTTTTTTGGTACCGGGATCAAATTCAGGACCTTGGGCTTGTGAGGCAGGCATGGCACCACTGAGGAACATCCCCAGCCCTCAAGCCCCACTTCTACCACTCCTATGCTGCACTTAGGCTCCCAAGGACAGGTATCTTTATTCTGCACCCTTCTCTCTTGCTCCTACCAACTCCTCCCCTTCCTGCACAGCTACAAGGTGCCCCTGAGGAGCAGATCTAACTCTACTCCTCCCTAACAAGCAGCACACACCACTCCTTGCAGTCTGATTTATCCCACTGTCTTCTAAGTATGAAACCTAACTTTGAGATTTTTCTTTCTGTTAAGTCAGCTTTCATCTCAATGTTCCTAGGCAAGAATTGGTAGATTTTTTTACATACAAAATTAATTTTAGTTCTTTCACCTCTTCACAAGCATAAAGACCACATGGTCACGAAGGCCACATGGTCACAAAGGCAGTGACCATGCTATCTAAATACACTACAAAAATTAGGGCAAAGGTAGAGGCTATCGCAAGGCAATGTTTTTCTTGAAACAGTGCCCACTTTTGCTGGTTGAAAATGAGCTGTCAGATGAGAGCAATGCTAGTGTTCTTCTGACCTATGTGTAATGATTAGTAAAATATTTCACATTTGTGTGTTTCAGTGTGTATCTTGTTCCTAAGGCAGGGACATTTTGATCCTAAACACTAAAATCAGGATGAGGCCTGGTTTCACTCCAAGGTGACTACATGTTTGGAGGGAGTGAAGAATACCCAGATATATGCCCTTTCACCTGTGACATAAAGAGCCAAGGAAACCTTATAACAATGCAGCCAGGTGTGGTGGTGCAGAACTGTAATCCCAGCACTTGGGAAGCTGAGGCAGAAAGATCGCTGCGAGTTCGAGGCCAGCCTGGGCTACCTAATGAATTTAAGCCCAGCCTGGGCTACCTAATGAATTTAAGGCCAGCCTAGGCTACATAGCAAGATCCTGTCCAAAAAAAACCAAAAAACAAAAATAAAGCAAAAAAACCCCAAAGCAAACAGGAAGAATACCATATTATCATTATCAGTTATTGTAGATTCTCAAGGAATACTTATCACCTGATATGCTGGCTAAGTGAGAAAGAAACACACGATAGGTCCATTTTAAAAGGAAGGGATGGGGCAGGCAAAATATAAGGTTTGGTCACAAGAGGCTTGTCCTTGTCTGTCTTAGAATTAGAAGACAGAGCTAAGGCAGGGTTCTGCACTTCTCAGGCAAATGATTTAACATCCCTGGTTTGCTAATCTGAAAATAGCATATGTGTTCTAATTTTTTTCTAACAGGGTGTCTGACACCTGTTGATCTGAAGCTCAGAATATGCGTGAAATATGTGTGGAAGTTCTCTGCACGCTAAAAAGTATTACATAAATGTGAAGAACTGTTATTACTGGTTTGGGAGATGGACTAATTATCCTTAGGAGGCAGTTCTCTAAGTTAGGTTTGAAGGACCCTAGTTAGCAAGACAGACTCCATATTGCTGCTTGACCCACCTGCCTGCCCTTTAGATGAACTCAGAAGGAGGAAGCTTAAAAACCTCCTCCCCTTAGAAAGTCTCTTTAGAAATAACAATTAATCAACTATTGTTTTACAAATGTTCTAACAGCAGGACATTCCGCTTCTGTACCTTTTGCTTGCTTTGCTAGTTCTATCCCATGGGGGGCCTAGAAACTGTTGGCCTCAAAGGTGTATAAAACATGTTTGTCTCCCCCCAGCCGGGGCTCAAGTCCAATGGTTGGCTCGGTCCCGGCTGATAATAAACTCCTGTGTGGATTTAATATCGGTCTCTGGTTGGTTCTCTCTCGCTGGGTCTAACAAGGTTCACTAGGCCTAGAATTTAGGGGCATTAGAGCACTAAACACTTCAAAGATGCTTAGAAAGGAAAAAGGAACCTATATAAGAATTTGGAGGGTCCAGCTTATCCAACTTAGATATTACCTAGACCAGTTTCATGAATCAGGAGCCACTGTCCCAAAAAACAGCCATCTAGAACCAAAAGCAGAATACCATATCCCAACTCTTTGTAGATAGGCAACAGTAAAAAAAAAAAAGAATAAATTAATCCTAGTACCACTGCAGAATAGGCCTGCAATCCTACTCAGCAGCAACCACCAGCATCATCTTTGTCCTTTTAGGAATTTGGGCTGGAAAGGCCGGAGCCAGGTAAGAAGGGCGGGCCACATGTTTCCATTTAGAACCTGATGAACTTTGTAGATCACTAACTGTAAAACATGAAAGTTGAACTGAAGTCCTCTCTTCCCTTTGGTATTTTATGAATAGAAGAATCCAACTCTGCCAGATGTAGTGGCGCATGCCTGTAATCTCAGAATTTGGCAGGCTGAAGAAAGGAGAATCACAAGTTCAAGAGCAGCCTGGGCTACATAATGAGTTCAAGGCCAGCCTAGATTACATCGCAAGACTCTGTCTCAAAAAACCAAACCAAACAACCACCACCACCACCACCACAAAAAAAACCCCAACTCAAAATGGATCATTATTTCAGAGATTTCAAATTAAATTTCACTCTTCTGTTTACTTTCCCAGGCCCCTAGCCTCACCTACTTGTTTAGTATTTTTATCGAAGTAGGTTGAATAATGTGTGCTAAAAGTAGTAGTATCTTGTTCTTATTGTTTTTGCTTCTGTTATTAAAGCAGAAGAAATTGCCTTAACATTAGACATCTTCATGCTCTCATCTCCACCTCCAGGTTCTAATTCTGAAGTCATGAAGTGGGGTGCAAGAGGACCAGTCATCCTTTGTTAGATGTGGCTCAGGGACCTTATGTATCACGGTCACCTGAGGAGGTTGATAAAATACAGACTTTTTCTTTTTGAGACAGAATTTAGTGTTGCAGGCTAATGTAGACTCCTCTGCCACACCTCCAGAATACTGCTTCAATAAGCTGCAAGGCCTAGAAATCTGCACTGTAATAAACTCTCAGGGGTTATCCAATTTATAGAAACAATGGCCCCAAAGAGTATCAGTAGGTCATGTAAAAGAAGCTTGGTTAGTGAGGACAGCAGGATTGGGCAACACAAACTCTTATCCTGGCAGGCTTCAAATCTGCCCTTTATCTCCTCTCCAAAAGCTCCTTTGGTTTTTTTTCCCTTCTGCTTTCTAATTTGCATTTCTCACTATGCATTCACATTGCTATACAGTAGTCTCCAGAGCTTATTCGGGAAGTTGCCATAAAAATGACCTGGGTCAATACCCTCATCTTACAGATTCCAAAATCAAGGCCTGGAGAGAAGAGACTTGACTAAAATCGGCCTTGGTTGGTATCTGAAAAATTCTCTTTTGATACCTACTACAAAGTATTTTCAACTACCTCAGGCTGCCTCTTATCATTTAGCTGATACTAATTAACTGTTTTAAGATCCTGGTAAAGATGCAGTGTTTCGAAATTACCTTCAGAATGGCCCCCACCACACCATGGTCCTTTGAGGGAAACAAGCTACTATTATACATTATATCTTAGATCTTTTGTTTCTTAGGTTTCAAAGCTGTTTATGTTGTTCACTTAGCAACCAACTGTTCAGAGTTCCAGGGGGTCTTAGTTGGGGGTATTCATTTGTTAAATTTCCTTCTTTGTAAACTGTACTTTGATAAATTGCATCATATGTACTCACTGATGACTTAATAATTTCTTAGTCATTCTTTGAAAAATAAACCACTAGTCCCATGCTACTTAATACAATATTTTCCTCCCACAGAGGTTCATCAGTCTTGCTGAGAACAAGTCAAAGAAGGGAACACAGGAACCAACACAGCTCTGGCATTCTTCAGATTGCCAGGTAGATGTAACAGATGGTGAAATAAAAGCTGTCTTTGTGGCCTTTTCTATCCCCTTTTCTTTTCCTCCATTGCTACTCAATCTCTTCTTTCCACACAGTTCAATTCCATCCCTGGGCCCCACTCTCAGGTCCTGGCTAGATTATTTGTCCACTGACATAAAAGAACAACTCTGTTTTAAAGAAAACAAGAAAATACAGTGATATCTCGATTGTTGAACTCAATTCATTCCAAATTCGTGTTTGAACACTAAAACGTTTGAGAACTGAATATATTCTTCCCATAAGAAATAATGAAGGGCTAGGGATTTAGCTCAGTAGCACTGCATCTGCCTGGCAACCACAAGGTCCTGAGTTTGATTCCCAGTACTGAAAAAAAAAAAAAAATGAATGAAAAACCAAAAAATTGGTTTTGAGGCTCAAAAATGACACTTATAAATTCATTTTTCTAAGACTTTAACAAATTTCACAATTTCTTTCTTTAACTCTATTGTGGTTCTCACAGTTTTCCTCTTAGCTTTACTGCTGGTATCACTAACTTTCTTTGGCGTCATTGTTACAATATTTTCTGCAAATAAAACTCAAAAAAAAAGCAGTACAATGATGAATGTTTTAATACACTAATACAGGTACTATATGTTGTTTGGGCAAGAGAAGAGCTTAGACTGAAATGTCATCCCTTTGTGAGTGTGGCCAGAGTGACACATGGCTCTTGGCTTGTACAGATTTTTTCAAATCAGATTTTCAGTTTGACTATCGAGCAAAATTACAAACGCTGATAAAATTTTTTTCAAATTTTGCCATTTGAGTAGTGGAAAGTTTGCATGGAGCCATTTGAAAACCGAGGTATCACTATGGTTTATTCTGAGCCAAATATGAGTGATAATAACCCGGGAACATGGATCCAAGTAATTTTGAATTACATAGTCCACTGTGGAAGAGGTTACATGAGTCTTTGTATCACAGAGAAAAATAATATTGTAAATCCATAAAAATATTTACTAGTTACATTGGTGAGAACAGGAAAAGAAAAAGAAAAAAATGTGCCCAAATATATTAAAGCATTATACTCTGAAGTATATTTTCTGAGTTTTAAAAGGACATCTGAGCCTCACTGACCAATGGGCACAGAGTTTCAGTTTGAGATAACGAAAAAAATGTTGGAGATGGATAGTGGTGATGGTTGCACATCAGTGTGAATGTACTTAATGCCCTTAATCTGTATAGTTAAAATGGGACATTTTGTTTGTGTTGTTGATGTGAAATAGTGATTCTTCTTTTTTTCTTTTTTTTTTTTTGCTTTGTGAGGCTAGGTCTCACTATATAGCTCAGGCTATCCTCAAATTCATAAGGCTGTCTCTGTCTCCTGAGTGCCTGGGATTACAAGCCTGTGCTGTCATGCATGACTCATGATTCTGCTATAAAGAAAATAATAAAATAGTTTATTCTGAACCAGAGATGAGTGACGGCACCCAGGAACATGGATTCAAGTTACCCTGAATGACATGTTCCATGTAGAAGAAGTTATGTGAACTTTTCTAGAATAGAACAAAAGAACAAAAGTGAGTCATAAATCAATACATTTACCAATTACATTGGTGGGGACATCAAGTGGGCATGCTACAACAAAGTGGGGGAATCTTCTATAGATTTCAGATGCCATCTTACAGCACTCAGCTTTAGGGCTGGTGGAGGGCAGGGATCTGCTAAACTTTTTAAAATTTATCTATTAGTCATGAAAATGTTAGGTCATATACAAAAGTTAAGGTAAATGACCAGTAAGAGGCCTGAAATAGCCCAAGATAACTTTGGCTCCTGACTCCAAGATTCCATTTCTCTACAATCCCAATGTCCTAGTCAGCTAAGGTCAAACGGTCTACAGGATCTTGAATGTATATTCGTCTTCTTCAGAGAACTCTACAACTAAAAGGAAGCCATACTCTGTTTAATTACTAAAGGCATATAGGTTTTCTGAACAAATTCTGGACCAAGAAAATTAAAACTATCCATACTGCCTCAAAGAGCTAAGAAACAACAGTGCAGGTTAGTATTTTACTAGCCTTTTTCTAGCCTTCAAAAAATTACATATACTATTCTCTAATTTGCTTTGTTTTTGCCTTCATGAAAATTTCCTCATTCTGTATACTTTGGACATGTTATTTTATTTTTGGTACTGGGGATTGAACACGGGACCTTTCGCTCGCTAGGCAGGTGGTGGCACCACTGAGCTAAATCCCCAGCCCCAGCTCTTCCATTTTCTAGTTAAGTGGTCTTTAGCAAATCAGTTAACTTCTCTGAGTCTTAATTTTCTCATAGAATTCTTTTTTTTTTCTCATAGAATTCTTGTAAGGATTAAGAATTAGCTATTGGCAAGCGCGATCCCTGGTACCAAAATAAAAAGAATTAGCTATTATTACTTACCCTTAGACTCTATGCACAAAATAACACTTGTTGAACCCCACAGAACCAATACGAAAAGTATCTAGAGCTACAGAGTTTGCATGATTAATAACCATTAGGATATGAGAATATTTGGAAAAAGGTTTTTTCGGGAAAGCTCTTGAGATTGGTCTCTTTGGGAGCAGAAGTAAATACAGCTTACACATTCCTAGGTTTCTCTAACAACGACAATATGAAATAGAAAATCAGGTGCATATAAAATCAGGTACAAGGCCTTGGAAGGGACCTACCTACAGTTTAAATTTGGTGAAAACTCTAGTTGGAGCCGATTGCTTATGAAAAGGTGGAAAAGGGAGAGAAACCCAGGAGACAGCCTTTGCTTACAGGAGCAAAAGGAGAGCCCTGTATAAAAATTACTACGCCATTTGGCTATTTTTACACCCATATGGAATGCAGCTCAGAGGTCACATAATGAGATGCCAAGACTGTTAGAAATGGGACAAATGTAGAAGATAAGCACATAGATAACACACATGGAAAACAACCGTGACGTGATGTATATCTTGAAAGCAAAGGCACAAGATTAGTAACAAGTGTGAATTACTCAGCAAAGTGCTAAGACTGGATTCCAGTCCTGCAGTCCTGTTAGCCATTAGAAGTTCAGCAAATAGAGGCTTTTGCCAGGTGCCAGGTTCTTAAGAGCCAGCTCTGGTCCAGCCCAATGAGCGCCTGAGAAGCAGAACTAAGAAGCAACCCCCAACCCCAACCCTAACATAATTTCCCGTACCCGGGGCTTGAAGACAGTCCAAAAGTTTTCGCTTTTGCTGACAGGCAGGGCACTTCTTTAGTGGGCCTGTAGTCTGCAGGTTCGCAGCTCGCTGCTAGACGATCCCTACACTAATTTCTTTCCTCACTCTTCCTTTAGTTCCGCGGTCTGAAGTCAGGACGCCAAACGATGGCCTCGTCAGTTGCTGTCCTGAGCACGTGCATGCTGTGCCAAAGGAGCCTGAGGAAGTTGGGGACGGTTTTCTGGGTCCACGCAGCTCAGGCTGAGCGTCCGGAGCACTCGGACCCCTGTACGGACAACTGCTACGCTAAGCCTTGAGCCCGCAGGCCGCAGCCTCTGCGACCAGCCGCTGCGCATCGCAGTGCGCGGCCTGGCCCCCGAGCAGCCCGTCACGACGCGCGCGTCCCTGCGCGACAAGAAGGGCGCGCTCTTCCGGGCCCACGCGCGCTACTGCGCCGACGCCGCCGGCCCGCTGGACCTGGACCCCGCGACCGCTCTGGGCGGCAGCTTCGCAGGTCTCGAGCCTGTGGGGCTGCTCTGGGCCATGCAGCCTGACAGGCCTTTTTGGGGCCTGATCAAGCGGGACGTGCAGATACCCTTTGTCGTGGAGCTGGAGGTGCTGGACGGACATGAGCCCGAGCCCGACCTTGGGAAGCTGCAGGCCCGCTCGGTGCACGAGAGCCACTTCCTGGCGCCCGGGGTGCAGCGCGTGCCTGTGCGGGAGGGCCGGGTGCGGGCCACGCTCTTCCTGCCGCCAGGTGAGACACCTGCTGTCCTCATTGGTCCCATACGCCAGTGGCGCTGGCCCTGTGGGTCAGTAGCCGCTGGCACTATGGTACAATGTCTTTGACCCCGTTCTGTCCTCCTCTCCCAAACCCTCCAGGGAACCCCAGAAGTCTGTGGTCACTGGAAAAGCCTGACCGAGTTTTTGGCTAATGGTCCTATTAAAGTCCTGATCTAAACGTCAACAGCCAAAGCAATAGAGAAGTTGCTTAGAAAAGCAGATTGTCCGACTCCCTCCAAGCCTGCTGAGGTAGAACCTGAGCAGTGACAAGAGAGACCCGCGGGTGATTTGCATGCACATTTTGGTTTGAGATCAGCTGCTCTGGAACAGTGATTCAGGCCAAGGGGAGGAACCAGCAGTGTCTCCAGGGAACTTGTTAGAAAGGCTCGGTTTGGCCTCACCCAGATTTAAAGAATCGAAAGGGTAGGAGTGGAACCAGTAGTGTGAATTGAACCACTGTTCCCTGTTGCTTCTGAGGCAGATGAAGTGTGAGAGCCTTAATGCTTAGAGAAAGGGAGGTGAAAAGTGCAGGAGCTCACAGAGAGCTGTTCTCAGGGACTCTGATCAATAGTTGGCATTCCCTTTGCAATAGAGATCAGAAGAGGAACTGCTGACAGGAAGGAGTGTGCAGAGAGGCCAAATATAAGGACAGTTTATTTCTAGCCAGGAGTGGTGGCACATGCTTATATTCCAGCACTTCGGAGGCTGAGACAGGAGGATGGCCACGAGTTTGACACCATCCTGTGCTACATAGTGAGTTCAGGGCCAGCCTGACTTGCATCTTGCGACCCCATCTGAAAAAACAAAACAAAAAAAGGGGACAATTTATCTCTTATACAATAGTTAAATTTTCCTCTTGCCAAAATCCCTGTGCCTAATACTGCTTTAGCATCTGGAAAAAACCTTGTAAAATTGGAAATGTAGTTCTTTGGTAAACAACCTTCAAGTAATATAATAGTTACATATTTAAATAGTAACAAGCGAATAAATCAACAGTACAAAAGGGTCTACATTAAAGTGCTGTCTTCCATATGACATCTTTACTTGACATTCTCATGGGCAGCTGTCTAAGTCTTACCGTCCTACAATCTGATATCCCAGTTGGGATGCAGTTTTTAAATTTCAGTGTTTCTTGGGCATGCTGAAAAGTATAATTCCTGCAATTCTAAAAAAGAACCAGGTTCAAGAGGATAATGAACAAGACACTTACCTTACCAGGAATTAAGTCAATTAAACATGTTGATAAATAGACAAATAGGTCAATAGAATAGATGCTTCATAAACTGACCTATGCACATAGGGAAGCATGGGGTATGATATATGTCAGTGATGGCAAACCTCTTAGACCTTTCAATGATAACAGGTGGCTGCGGCACATGTACCGTAGGTTCACCACCACTGATACAGGTATTATAGGTTACTGGGGAAAGGCAGTTGTATTGGCCACTTATTGAGATTCTTGTCTTATACACAAAAATGAATTCCAGATGAATTGAAGAAATTTATATGAAAAACAAAACATTACTAGGAGCTGGGCAAGGTGTCACACACCTATAATCTCAGCCACTCGGGAAACTGAAGGAGGAAGATGTCAAGTTTGAGGTCAGCCTAAGAAACTTAGTGAGAACTAGTCTGGAAAAAAAAAAAAAAGGGCCAGGGATTTAGCTCAGTGGTTCCAGCGCCTGCCTCGCAAGCACAAGGTCCTGAGTTTGATCCCCGGTACCAACAAAAAAGGAAAAGAAAAAAGGCTGGGGATATAGCTCAATGCTCCCTCACATCAATCCCATTGCTGCAAATTGTAAAACAAAAACAAAAAAAACTATCAGGAAAAACACTATGTGTATCTTCATAAGCAACAGAAGATATTTATAGCATAGACAACAGACAAATAGTCAGAAGCTAGAATTAAAAATGAAAACCCTACAAGCCAATAAAGGCACCCACAACTTCTTAGAAAAACAGGTCAAAGAGACAGAATTCAATTGAAAAAGAAACAAAAGAAAGAATGGCAATAAACATATAAAGAGATTCTCAACTCAGAGATCATAGGCATGCACATTAAAAGTATTGTGGAATACCTTCTCATACCTCATACCCCTCAATTGGACAAATATATTTTTTTAAAACCTGATTTTGAGTGTTAATGAAGATGTGGTATAGTAACACAAGAACACCCCACTCTTCTGGAGGGAGTGTAAATCAGTAAAGCAACTTTGGAAAACAACTTGGTAGTTCTTAGTAAAAACTCAAATGTACATATGATCTAAATAACAGCCATGTAACTTATATGTACAGCACTTCAAAAATGCTTGTATCTGGACCTTACAGGATGCTTAAGGCAGCAATATAATAAATTGTAACAACCTTGATGATCATCAAAAAAGAAAGACATAGGGCCGGGGATTTAGTTCAGTGGTTCCGCTGCCTGCCTCGCAAGTGCAAGGTCCTGAGTTCGATCCCCGGTACCAAAAAAAAAGAAAGAAAGAAAGACATAAATTGTGCTATTGTGCTATATTCATCAACATATTATACATAGTGTAGACAGATTCTTCTCCTGGCCCCAGATTTGGAAAGGAAAAAATAATAACTTGGGACCTTGTTAAGTAAAATTTTACTTATAAAGAAGTGGGAATTTGGAACAACAGGTGTAGATGAAATGTGGACTGAGTTTGACCATCCTGCTGGCAATCTTGAAGATCATAAGCCTTGATATAGAATGCCCAGATATTGCCTAAGACTTTGAAATTCTTTTCCAGATGTTTTCAAGAGGGCTCATGATAGCCTTTAATATCACAATTTTGGAAGGTCAGTCAAAATTTTGAGTTGCAAGTACCAACAACAGACTTACTGTTACTTAAATAGGAAAGGGCTGTGGAAATAAATAGGTAAAGTTTAGGAACCCAATTGTCCAGAAGACTGGGATCAGATCATACTAAGGTCACAGTACCATGCCAACACTGAACATCATTAATACTGGACACTCAGTATCACATTAGGGCTGCTGTTGACTCAGTGCCAATGCTGCTGACCTGAGTAAATTCTGAATCATCCCTACCTCTCTATATCACTCAAAGGAGTGAGTACAGGTCACAGAAGGAGGGACGGTCTCCCCGCTTAGTGATTCGTAGTTCTCTGGGTCCCAACAAGTTATCCTTTCAAAATAGGAAAGGAGGATTGAATGTTCATCCCTCTCCCAAGGACTCCCAAATAAATGAAAGAGAGCCAGATTCCAAAAGTTATTTGAGGACTACATCATTGTTTTGTTTCTTTTCAAGGACCTGGGCCCTTTCCTGGGATAGTGAACCTTTTTGGAGTTGGAGGAGGCCTTCTAGAGTATCGAGCTAGTCTTCTGGCTGGGAAGGGTTTTGTTGTGATGGCTCTGGCTTATTATAACTATGATGACCTCCCCGAGGACATAGATATCATCCACCTGGAGTACTTTGAAGAAGCTGTGAACTACCTCCTCAGTCACCCTCAGGTTGATTATCCTTTCAGTCATTTGGTTCAGATAGTAGGTTCTAAATACTTCCCCTAATCAGTATAGATTTTCAACTAAGTGAGCTTAGGATCCTATGTAACAAATATTAAGTGCCTTCCAACTTCACAGAGAAAAGAACATTTCTTAGCTTGGGGTGATAGAGTTGGTCAGACAGCCAGATATCAAATCCCAGGTTCGGGTGACCAAGCATCTTATTTTGCTCGGGACAGAGGGTTTCCAGAGAGGCAAGCCTTTTGTTGCTAAGACCAGGATACAAATAGGTGAATCGGGGATGATCATCTTAGCAGTATCATTGCTTTGTGGGAATGTGAATTTGTATCCAGCCTCCTGGTTTATCAGAAAGGCTAGATGCATCACACTTGTGAAACCCTTGAAATGGGGCCTGACATTTGATGATCAACATCCATTCATTCATGAAGCAAACACTAGAGTATCCAAGCTCAGCATACACAGAATAAGGAGTACAAAGTTCATGTCCACATGACTTAAAATAGAGTGTGGGGACTGGGGAGGGAGGGCTAGGGAGAAAGGAATCTCAGCCATCAAAGTGCTAACAAGGAAATTAACAGGACATTGATGAAGAATAGTAGGTGTGAAACTTATGCGACTAGATAGAGCCAGGAAGAACCTCATTTAGCAAGGACTGAAATGTTAGCTAGTCTTATTACTAGTAGTAGTACTATTAGTTGTCCAGGAGACTATTCTAGCTATTACATTTTTAAAAACCTTTCAGTATCCACTACCACTTACATGTTAAAAATAAAATAAATACAAAAGGTAATTAGTAATGATGTAGTAGCTGCCAAGTACATAAATACTTTAAGGTTTTACATAAATACTTTAAGTTTTTCATAAACACTTGATGGTGATTTTATACTGCATACATATCCTGTATAAACTAGGTAACAATTTCATTGCTTCAAACATTCTTTGCAAAAATAACTATCAATTCAGGAAGAAAAGGTTTTTTTATATATAAATACAGCCATTCTCTTCACCAATACTGTACTTTCATGTCCATCTTAGAATCTTACATACAAATGGACTATTACTTAGGCTCACCTTGAACATTTTCCCATTCCCATGGATTTATGTGAATGGAATGCATAGTGAAGGGTAAAGGTACTGGAGACTAATCCATCAACACTTTTGGACTTGAATGCTCTTCCCTGACAAGCATGATGCCAAGTACTTTTCATGTGATTTCTCATTTGAGCTTCATATAGACTCTGTGACATAGGAGCTCACCCCTCATCTCACTGCTAAGGAAAATAAGCTTTACAGAGCCTTAGTTATCTTTTAATAAAGTTGGAGTATTGATAGATTCAGATTTGGGCTCAGGTCTAGCTGACATCTAGGTAGACACTACTATTCACTTCATGGACTTACTCTTTGTCTTTTTTGTCTGTCTTTTTCTCAGATAAAGGGTTCAGGAATTGGGCTGCTTGGGACTTCCAAAGCGGGTGAACTCTGCATCTCCATGGCCTCTTTCCTGAAAGGCATCACTGGTGCTGTAATCATCAATGGCTCCATCGCCAATGTGGGGGAACCTTACTGTATAAGGATGAGACCTTGCCCCCTGTGGGCAGCCAGAAAAAACAAATCAAGGTGACCAAAGATGGCATGAAAGACATTGTGGATGTCCTGAACAACCCTTTGGAAGGACCTGACCAGAAGAGCCTCATTCCTGTGGAAAGGTCTGACACCACCTTCCTGTTCCTTGTAGGTCAGGATGATCACAACTGGAAGAGTGAGTTCTATGCTATGAGGGCTCTAAGGACTTAAAGGCCCCTGGGAAGAAAAAGCCCCAGATCATCTGTTACCCAGAAACTGGGTACTGCCTGGTGCCCCCTTACTTCCCCCTTGTGCTGAGTGTCTCTGCATTCCTTGGTGGGTGGTCCTGGCATCTGGGGAGGGGAGCCCAGAGCTCATGCCATGGCCCAGGTGGACGCATGGAAGCGACTCCAGACCAACTTCCACAAACACTTGGGTGTTAAAGAGGGAACCATCCCAGCAAAACTGTAATTTTTGTGTGATAGTGTATGTAACATCTGTGATGCTGATCTCTCCTGGAAATAGCTGCTACAATTACTGTGTGTATATGTATTTTTCTTTTTAACAACTGTTTAGAGACTTTTCCTCAAAGATTTTTATCTACTCCTGTGGGGAATAATTCTGCATAAATTATAAGCAGTGGAAAAGCTTATTTATTACTATCATATGTCATCCAACTGACAGGCTTTCACTCTGAAAAAAAAGAAAAGAAAAGTGAGTACCACTCATTAACTCTACCTGCTACACAACTGGAGTTTAGTTATTTGCTAAATGACTGCTGGTTAATAAATAAATTATTGACTGATGTGTAAGAAAAGCATAAACAGTGGCCCTTCGTGTCTGTGGGCTCCACATTGTACATTCAGCCAACCCCACTTTAAAATATTTGGAAAAAGAAATTGTGTCTGAATTGAACAACTATAAACATTTTCCTGTCGTTCTATCCTAAACAATACAGGGTAGCAACTCTTTACGCTGGGTTAGGTAACTTAAGTAACCCAAGTGTGATTTAAAAGTATGTGAAAAATAACTGCTGGTTATACGACAAATACCATGTCATTTTACATAAGGGACTTGGCATCTTCAGATTTTGGTATCTGCAAGAGTCCTGCAACCTGTTCTCTCTCTTGCAACCTATCCATGTATACCAATGGACAATTTTATATCAAAATGATTACAATATCAAATTTGAGTTTGGGGAGAGGTATATGGATGACCACTAGCCACAAACTGTCTACAACCTTTCCTTGTTAACACATATGAGTTGTCCTTCCTTTCCTCTTTCCTCTCTTCCTTCTTCTCTTTCCTATAAGCTGTATTATATCTATCAGCCAAGAGTGATTGGAATGATCCAAAACAGGTCAGGAATCTTGCTGGCATCATGCAGGCATCATAAAGGATGGTGGTCATGAGGGATATAAAGCTCAGCAGTGGAAATTTGGGGTTTATTAGTAGGAGGAGATAAGAAGAGGCACCATCAAAATGACATAGAGAGATTTTATGGAAGGAAGAAGAAAATTACATACTACTGGGGCAAGAATTACAAAAAATTCAGATAGATGCTCTCATTTGAAATGTGTGTTAAACTGAGAGGACATCATTTTACTAAATCTAAAGTGATAAAAAGTCATAGTAAATTTAGACAATGGAAAAATTATTCAGTAGAAAATGAGGTACATGGGCTGGAGATTTAGCACCACGCCTGCCTTGCAAGTACAAGGTCATGAGTTCAATCCCCGGTACCAAAAAAAAAAAAAAAGAAAAAGAAAATGAGGTACATACAATTCCATCACCTAGAAACCAGTGCCCTTAACAATTTCATATTTTTTTCTATTTTCCCCTAGGCTTTTATATATATGTTAGAAAATGGATTCTATTGTATGTACTGAACATTTTATTGCATATCATATAGGTTTTTTTTTTAAACTATGACCTATATTCTGCATATTGCTATCACTATCCTTCATTGAGTCAATCATCTATTTTGGGGGCCTTGACATTTTTGATGCACTTTGATCATATAGTCTAGTGCTATAGTGAAGGTACTTGACTACAGATGATTTTGTGTGTATAACTGCTTATTTTTTTCTTATAAACATATAACTTTATATATTATATGTATTTATAAAATATGCAGCATACAAATATTTTAAATGTAATACTAAGAACAGACTTGAAAACAGAGATGTTTTCACAACAAAAGATGGGTACTTATCCAAGGTAGAGTCCTGATCCAGACAGTGCCCCAGGCCCAGATTTCTGTAGAAGTCAAAGGGAAGAGAAGGGGCCTACAACATAGCTCCAGTTCCCTCCTCTTCCCCAGTACCCTCACCTGCTACTTGTTAGACCCAGCAAGAGAGAACCAACCAGAGACCGATATTAAATCCACACAGGAGTTTATTACTGGCTGGGACCTGAGCCAAGTAGGACTCGAGTCTCGACTGGGGGGAGACAAACATGTTTTATACACCTTTGAGGCCAACAGTTTCTAGGCCCCCTATGGGATAGAACTAGCAAAGCAAGCGAAAGGTGCAGAAGTGGAACATCCTGCTGTTAGAACATTTGTAAAACAATAGTTGATTAATTGTTATTTCTAAAGAGACTTTCTAAGGGGAGGAGGTTTTTAAGCTTCCTCCTTCTGAGTTCATCTAAAGGGCAGACAGGTGGGTCAAGCAGCAATATGGAGTCTGTCTTGCTAACTAGGGTCCTTCACTACTGGCACAAGCTAACATGGTCCCCTGAGTACCCCCAAAGTGGGCAAAGTGCCTGGCATGTTGTCAGCACTCAGGTTGCTGAGGAATGATGAGGAGTTAGTGTTTTTGGTCACCAGCTCTCAGGTAACATTTCCACAATGTGGAAGGCTCAGTCACAGAGCTAAGGCTGCTCTAGAAGCAAATGCTGTAGGTGTTTGATTTTGTAAGTTAACCAGTCCACACATCCAGGTGCCAAATTAATTCAGCCACAATTGCTATTTCCTCCTCAGGCTTTGGGATTTGGAAGCCCCTGGTCACAGCACCATTCATCTTCCAAAAGTTTCTTCACATTCAACTAGTTCATCGATTGTGCGCAGCAAATCTTCAAACAAAGGCCTTCCCTCTGGTTTCTCCTGCCAACATGTCAGCATCACCTCATACACATGTTTGGACGCCAGCTTTGGCCCGTAGAGTCGGTGACCTCATGTAACCATGCTTACCACTTCATAATTGGTGTTTTTCTCAAAGGGCATTCTGCCTTTTGTGTATACTTCCCACATTAAAACACCAAAGGACCAGACATCTGATTTGCTGCTAAAACGGCTATAATTAAACACTTCAGGCAAACACCACGTCACAGGGAATTTAGCACCAGAAGAACTTGTGTACTGATCATCCAGGACATACCTGGCCATTCCAAAATCAGACACTTTCACAACACCTGCCTCGTTCACTAGACAATTTCTTGCAGCCAGGTCTTGGTGGATGGAGCTGTTTCTCTCCAAGTACTCCATCCCTTCACACATGTCCTGACACATGCTCAACAGCATATCTCTGCTGAAGAGGCCTTTTCTCTGCCGGAGGAAATTCAGAAGGCAGCCCCATTCTATGAACTCAGTAATGATGTAAATTGGTTTCTCCTGAGTGCATACCATAGCTGTAACCAGCTTCGGGTGGGTCAGCTTCATGAACACTTTAGCTTCTTCTATAAAGTCCTCCTTGCACATGGCACCTTCTCTGATCACTTTGATGGCTACTTTGTAATGGGCTCGCCACTTGCCAAGTCTCACCACTCCAAACAGCCCACTCCACAACTCACTCATAAAGATCAGCTCCAAAGGGTTAATCTCCCACTTCTCATAGCTAAAGCCTGCAGTAGTTGGCGCATTCTTCCCCTTTGTACTAACAGGATACCACAGCCTTGTGACAAGTCCTGCTGCACTGTACTTATGATATTCAATAATCTCAGGAACTGAACTAAAAACATGCTTTTCGGCTAGATAATACTTCTCTGGAGATGTCGTTGTTTCCTTTATATGATAATGCCTGAAACTTGATGAACCTTCCCCTCCAAACTTTGTATAAAGGAGACTGTATATAAGCCTGGTTGACTGGAGTCCCTTACCATAAAACCACCTTCTTTATCTTCAATTCTGAGGAGTTGCTCTCCCTTGCTTCTATCTGTATTTCTGCAATACCATTCATATTGATCTAAGTTGTTGGATTTCTTTCCTGTCACATAATTACCTGGGATATAGCCTTCAGTCCCATTCTTAACCCTGGCTCTCCACCAATGAATATGATTCTTTTCCAGTATGATATACTCCTGGCCCCTCTCTAATCTGAGATCATGTGCTTCTGTGGCTTGGAAGTCATACATTGCTATAACTATTTCTTCACTATTATGCTCTTCTTCAAGAGGAACTGGTGGGGGAGGCCTTCTTTGTTTCTGGTGCTGGGGGTAGTGCCTTTTTTTATACTACTACTCTCAAAAAGATTGTATTTTTCACATCCAGGTGCTAGGTTTTCTGTTTGTCTGCAACACTGATAACTTCCATCTGCCCAGAATTTAGGATGATATTTAATCATAATATTATTGTTGTTCTTTAGTTCTTCTTTTAATTTCTTCACCCAGCAGTCCCTGCTTTGTGCTCTAGGTGCGAAAACGTAAAGTGTGTTAGCATTATGGATATTTATTTTGACAAGGAATGATGGCATCATCATTCTTCACTACTTCCACACACTGGATTCGGGAAATATAAATAAACCCCTTTCTGTATTTTTTCTCTGCTCGACCTTCATAGTAGGTTAACATGGACTTTGTAAGTACAAAAAGTCTGTCTTTGTAGTTTAGGGGTGATGTCATCTTTTTCTGCTGTGACCTTTGAATAAGAATCTCTTCTAGAATAGTGTTAAAATTCATCTCAGTCTTCTGATCACTGTTTCTCCTGCCATCAAAGATCCCAGTATCCCCGTGTTCCTGCTGAATCAGTCTTCAAAGATGCATCATTCCATTTCACTCATCAGAAATCATCAATGTCTCCCTGGCACTTTCTCTCCATAAAAAAGGATTCCAACACAAGAAAGAGGTCAGGAGGGCCGGGGATGTAGCTCAGCAGTGCAGCGCCTCTGGGGCAAGTGGGAGGCAGTTCATAGAGGTTTCAGTCCTTAGTCAGCCAACTCCAAGGCAGGGACAACAAACAGGCATGGCAGAGCAGAAACAACATGGCACACACAAGGCAGCAAAGGTAACAAGACCTATAACTGCTTATTTTTAAAACATATTCTTGCAATAAAATTACTGGGATTCTGTAGTATACATACTAGGAATGATCAGTCCTACAATATCTGAATGATTGGATGTAATTGCCCTATTTTGCATTGTACCTTTGCCACCTGGATACAATATGAGTATGTATATACGTGTGTGTGTCTGGAATCCCTTTATTTTTACACATTTTATGAGATATAGAGAGTATCTCAAGGCCAGGGATTTAGCTCAGTGGTTCCAGCACCTGCCTTGCAAGCGGAAGGACCCCAGTTCGAGCCCTGGTACCAAAAATAATCAAAAACAAAAAAAAAAATCTGCAAACATTTTGGGCCGGGGATTTAGCTCAGTGGTTCTGCCACCTGTCTTGCAAGGGCAAGCTCCCAAGTTCTATCCCCGGTACAAAAAAACATCTCACTGGATGGCTTTTGTTGTTGTTATAATAATGTTGAATATTATCCCCTCCTCTTTTTTTTGGTGCTGGGGATTAAATTTAAGGCTTCATGAACGCTAAGCTCGTGCTATACTACTGAGCTACATCCCCAGCCCATATTTTCCCTTCTTACTGGGAAAATATTTTTGTCACTTTAAAACTCCCTATCCCATTCTTTACTCATCTATTTC